TGATTTTTGTTCATTAATTAAATAAACTCTTGATTGTTTTTAGGTACCTAATTATCAACGGTTATTCCAATTTAAATAATTTTATCATCAATAATGATTATTAAAGGGTAATATATTTCAATTTAAATGAAATTATCAATTTAAAGTTTACCTCCGTATTATTTATTTAAACTCACTTTCAATTGGAGAATATTAGAGGAGAAAATTGGATAACGGATTTCTACCAGAGAGTTAGGTCCTTCTTTTACAATGTTCTATATATCTGTACAAATACCTTTTTCTAGTTGATTATTCAGTTGACATCTATTCGTTTGAGTTTTGTTCATAGATTAAACTCGTGACTTTTTTAATATACCTACATAATTATCAAAGGTTCTTCCAATTTAAATAACTTTATCATCAATACTAATTGTTAAAAGGTAGTATATTTCAATTTAAATTAAATTACCAATTTAAACTTTACCTCCGTGTTATTTAAACTCACTTCCAATTGGAGAATATTAGAGGAGAGATTTGGATAAAATATTACTAGGAGAAAATTAGGTCCTTCTTTTACAAACTTTTATATATCCATACTCATATACACTTCTACACATGTCCGAACCCCTATCTATATCCACATACCTATATCTCACTATATACCTATGAGTTCTTATATACACCTGCACACACATCCACACGAAAAACTATATGTATATTCCCATATTTACACATATACACCTGCAGAGAAACATATACCCACATATCTACATACATATCTACACATACACTTATACTTACATATATACATATATACACATGAAATTACCTGCATATCCATATACATCCATGTACATATGCACATATACATTTACACACATGTATACATACATACATACATAATATGCAATATATCCACATACATACATATGCGTACATATATACACACACGTACATGTCTATCCTCATGTCCACCCATACACCCACTTATGCCTGCATTCGAAGACTATATCAATATTTAATTACATTATGGATACCCAAATCGTATAATTATACATATCTCTACATATATATTACCTGTTTTTTCATATCTATGGCAAAACATATAGGTACCCATCTAATTGTACACCTCCACACTCACATAAAAAAAAAAAAAAAATAGAACCTTAAAGTGGTCTGTTTTTATTCAAAAAAAAAAAAAAAATATATATATATATATATATATATATATGTGTGTGTGTGTGTGTGTGTGAAAGCATGTCAAGATACTAGACTGATTGTAAAAAGAGAACCATGAACAATACTTTAACCCTAAACAGAGTGCACAGATACTACAATGATTGCAAAAAGAGGACCAAGGAACAATACTTTAACCCTAAACAGAGTGCACAGATACTAGGCAGAAGTGCTGATCCATATCGAAATAACCTCATCATTTTTTATGGGTACTATGTAAGTTAAATAATAATACAGCCAATAATGTTTCAAGGAAAAATATGTGGCTGGGTAATTATTGACAGATGGTTATTTTGATTGATTGATCAATAAGTTCATATAAAAAGATAGATCAATAGACAGGTGGTTGCACAAATATAAAGATCGAACAAGAATAAAAAAAGAAAATAAATTAATAATTAAAAACTGTTCTTTTTAATAGACATTGTTTATTTTGGATATAGTTTTCAAAATATGTGTGCATGCTTAATAAAGGAATGAAGATTATATTAAGCAACATCAACAATTTATTACTAAGATAACACTTCAGATAGAAAGCTCTTTTCAATATTATAATGGCTTATATAATAATCTAGAAAGCCTTTAATGGTATGAATATAATCAAGGACTTCAGCAATTCAACCTGGTACTAAAGTTGACTCATTTGAATATATGACCACTTAAGACAATGGCTGAAGCCTCGGAAAAGGCATCATCCAACCACACACACACACACACATACAGTATGTATCTTTTGGGGCTTGAGCAATTTTTCCACAGTACCACTATTAAACCCACTTTAAACCTTGACCATGTATCCCATTCAGTAGCAACATTGACGCACTGAAAAATACACTTAAGACAATGGCTTCAGGAATATAACAAGGAATTTTCTGCAAAAGCAAAAATTACAACAGAATTTCAACCACCTGAAGAAGGCTGAAGCATACAACGGTCAAAACATTGTAATAAATATGGAGATAAAGATGAGGACAATAGTCCAAATAAAATAAATAATGTACATAATACTTCATCTCGAAAATATAGACAGATACCTCAGTTCCTAATGGAAAGTCTTTGGTATTAAGCAATCTTCTCCAATAAATATAACAACATTTAAACAATTATATATTATGTTTCATTGAAAATGAGTGACAAGTGCTTTCAGCTAATCTATTAGCCATTTTCAAAGAGTTTGGTGGCTCTAGTACAAATGATATGTAAGTATGTTCTTAATTCTTGAACATGGCCAATACATTATGGCCATGTCTATAGTTGCTGTTATTAGCTGGAAGTTCTTAGAACAAAAAATAATTTGGAAAATTTCTCCATACATTATGTCCAAAAAAAAAAAAAAAAGAAATCTCTTATTTAAATACAAGAAAATACATTGGAAAAACTTCAAACTTCTTTTTTTTTTGTTCCATTTGCTCAAGTACTTTCAACTGTTTTGGTCATTCTCAAGAACTAATCAGAAGTATAGACAAATGATAATCCCAGAAATGTCAGGATAATTCTAAAGAGGATATACAGAGCACATGATAATTATGGAAGCAGAGTCTTTAGAAACTCATGGTAATATTTTATTTTGAAAACTGATACTACGGTTTTGTCTCATCAAACCAAATGGTTGAAACCGATGATGAAACTGATGAGACAAAACTGTAGTATTGGTTTGTGAAATAAAATATTATCATGGGTTTCCAAAGTCTCCGCTTTAATAATTTTTTATATATATATATATATATATATATATATAATAAAAAGGCTTAAACACCAATATTAGTGCTGGGCCTTTTTTATTATATCCTTACTCTGTCGTGGACATTGAGTTCTACCTGGATTCTATCCTCTTGGAATTATTTTTTATACAAATATATATGTACGTATATATATTTATATATTTTAGATATATGATTGCATATGTATGTGTATATTTACCACTAATATTATCTCTCTCTCTCTCATATATATATATATATATATATATATATATATATATATATATATATATATATATATACATACATACACTACTTACATTATTCAGACTATTGTTCTCATCTTTGTCACCATATTTATTGCAACCTTTTGGTCGTTGTATGCTCCGGCCTTCTTCAGGTGCTTAGAATGTCGAACTGAACCCTTTATTTCGCTCACTGGGATAGACTGTTCTAGTTTCATGTGCCATGTTTAATAGATGTCAGTTATCTGCTGTTAATTCCCCTCTGCAAGTTCTCCACTGCCTTAACCGGGTATTGAACTCTCACTCTTTGGATCCTGTCACTGGATCTAACCAGCACCTTTATCCACTGTGCCATGTGTCTTTGGGTCCAGTGACAGGACCCAAAGAGTGTTAATTCAATACCTGGTTAAAGCAGTGGAGAACTTGCAGAGGGGAATTAACAGGAGATAACTGATAACTGACATACATTAAACATGGCACGTGGAACTTGTACAGTCTACCCCAGTGAGCGAAATAAAGTGTTCAGTTCGACATTCCAACCACCTGAAGAAGGTCGGAGCTTATAAAGGCCGAAACGTTGTAATAAATATGGCGACAAAGATGAGGACAATAGTTTGAATAATGTAAATAGTGTACATAATACCTCATCTCAGAAATATAGACAGCTATATATATATATATATATATTTTAAGACATTTTTATGCTTATACATTCTTTTATATATATATTCAAAATTATAACATAAGCATGTTATAACATCACTACAAAAATAGCCATTTTGTTTCAACACTTCTGGTGTCTTATCAAGTGATGCTATTCATTCTCACTATCACTTGATAAGACATGCATATGTTATAATTTTTATATATATTATTTGCACTACTCTGTATTGAGCACTCTTAAGTATAGTGTTTTTGGTTATCAGAATTTTATTCTATCTGTACCAACCCTGCACTTATATATGTGTGATAAAAATATACTTTTAAGGTATGCTATATTTATGGGTAAAGGTGCTCAATATCAGGGATAGAGTGTATGGAAATATAAAAGTGGACATAGAAATCAACACCCAGTGGCAACAGTCTGTTTCGTGCTTAAATGTAATCGTCAGGCCTGTAACTATGGACTTTTTTTGCAAAACAAGTGTCGCAATATAAGGGAGATAACCAGAAATTGGTAGAAATGCAAAATGGCATTAAATGTTTGCTAAATGCACTTCAACACGTTATTGCTATGGATAAATTCAAAATTTTGAAATAATTATAACAGAGCGTATTCGCATGTGTTTTTAAAAAAACAACATCACAATGATCACAGTTACAATAAATTTGTCTTTGAATTCACCCTCAGAGAAGATTAAAAGTAATTGGGTAGGAAACAACTACAGCAACTTTCTTGATGAATTTCATCTTAACATCACAAAACTGATTAGAGAACTAGAAAGGATCATTATAAAAATAAATAGACATAATATATCTATATTAATCAATGAAACATGTTTGAATGAAAATATGCTGCCTATATATATATATATATATATATATATATATGCCAAAGGTAAATGAAAAAATTAGTTTGGGGTTCCATGATAGTAAAAAATTGAGTATCATTGATTTAAGAAGCTTTTGTTATATTGCAGTTGTCTAAAATTATCAAAGGTGTGTGTATTTATTAACAATGGCTTTTTACTTAACAGGAAATGCTTAATCATAAAACAATCCCTGAATATCCAAACAAAAAAATTTAAAACCTTTTAAACTTATTTCATCTATGCAATGATTAAACAAACCTGCACTGTGTCTATAGGCTACATCTTAAAGGGGGAAAAAAAACTTTTACCTTCATATTTATCAGGGATCAGATCGTTGTCAGAGAGGAGAGCTTCATGTAAGGCTGAATTAGTTTTTTCACCTTTAACTTCCTTTTTCAATTTGTCTTCAACCAGTTTTGTATCAAGGCTTATAACTTTTAGGTCCTTTCCAATATCATAAGAGACAGTTTGGATCTCACAATTCAACTGAAAAATAAAGAATGAAACAAAGATTATGCATCATTAAAGTAAAACAGGCAAATATTTAAGCCTGTAGTGAAGCTTTATTCAATGTAATTTGACTACTGACCATAAGTGAAATTTAACCATTTCTTTTATAGTCGAGTAGTTTGAGGGGGAGACAACTATGTTTTTCTTCCACCACAAACTATAAACGAATTTCATCATTAGACAGAAAAAGATAAAATTTTAAAGACATATTTTTAATGAAAAAGAAAGCATTTAAAATCGCAAAGAAAGAGATATAGCCTAGTGGATAAAAATGAACGGGGGAAGTGACCACCAGAGAAACCAGCCATGCATGCCGTGTGAAGAAGATAACTAGTCATCTGCTTAAGACATTTTTTCTACTCATCTTAGAGCCAAGAAAAGACAACAGATTGAAGACGTATCTATTTCTAAGAAGAAAACTACTACTGAGCCAAAACGAACTTTCTCTCAACTGCTATCAAGATCTGCTTTATAAACAATCTTTGGCTACACTCAATATCAAAGGACTCATTCTAATCTAAATCAAATAAATAAATATATATTATTTGTTTATACTTTTGAGTCAATTCGTTTTTATTTTCAAAGTTTATGGTAAATAAATACCAAGAATATCTGGTACTCTTGCTACAAATTAAATACATTGACTTTTGAAACAGTTTTTCTCATTGGAGTAAATTATTTCCATGAATTTTGATATACCTAAATATTCTCTTGAAGTAGGGATGTAGAAAGAACAAAATGCTAATATTTTCAGAGAATCTATTTTTTATGGAGAGATGTTATCATTATATTTAAAAGTTCAGTAATGTTCTGTTTTTTTTAATATAATCTTTAGTTTCAATTTCAAAAGATTTATTTTTAATATTTAATGTACATATTTGAGATTATTTCCTCAAACTCTCATGACAAATATGAGGACTCTCTATGGTACACAAGTGGAAAAATGTGGACTTAAAGCAAAAGCTACACAAAAGAATTACATTTTCAGAGTACAGGCTGTAAAAATTACATTTTTCAGAGCACAGGTTGTGGGGATTATATTTTGCAGAGTAAAGATAGAGGAAATTAATTTTTCCGAGGACAAGCCATGGAAATTACTTTTTTAGATTACAGCCAGTGGGAGTTACATTTTTCTGTGTAGGCCAATTTTGTGTGTGAGTTTCAGAAATGATGTTAATAATCAATAAGTTTTTTAAACTATATTTTAGCCAACTAAAAATGTGGTTGAAAAATGAAAATCACCAAAACTAATTAAACAAGACCAAATCAATTTTACCCTTTATTTCAAAATGTTTGTGTGTTGATTGGAGTGGCTTTCGGAAGTCAAATTTCATTTTGTCTTGAGTTAAAATTTTTCAATATGATGATTATTGATGAAATATACTCACTCACCTGGTGATCTGACTCAATCTTGACTTCAGTCGAAATGGCCTTTTCTTCTGTGACTGTTGTGTGGCATTCTTCAAAATATAAAAAATGATTTAAGAAAAATAAAGAACACACCTTACATACATTACTGGTTTGATACTGTTTTACCAATTCAGCTGGGGAGCTTGTTGTGTCCACAATGAAATACATTTATTTAAAAAATTAATTATACTCCCTCTTTGTCATGTCCATAAAAAAATAAATAAGAGAGAAAATTACCATGTGATACATATTCATTTATTCCGAGTACTTCCAACATTAGCACAATGTCATCATCAGGGTGTTGTTTTTTTGCTAAGACAAAATTATTGTGTTCATCTGAAAGTTAAATTTTTTTAACTTTGAAGTGAAAAATGCTAAGGTTATGTATTGTATGAATTTAAATTTCACAATGTAAACATCAGGGGAGATAGCTAAGTTTTGCAATATCCATATGTTTTTTTTTTTAAAATATATATATATATATATATATATATATATATAATTAAAAAAAATACCCCATCTACAAAATCATCTGTTGGTGAGTAATTCCCATTTCTCTGTTTATTACTTGGCCCATTGATGAAGGACACAGATGTGTCTGAAAAATTCCAAACATTAAACCCTTCTCTCCATGCTTCATTTCTGACATATGGTTAATGATTAATATTTAATAAATGTTTATCGTACTGATGATATTGGTACCCTTTCATTTGTCTTTGTTTTATTGACTAACCTATCTATTTTACATACACATATATATATCTCAACATTGTCATTGGTCCAATAACTGGGTGTGGTCATGTTATATTCCATGCTAATAGGAATATATATTTGAAAAACAAGGTGGATAAAGTAAGTAAAGGTTTATTGTCAAAACCAGTACAATAGGAATAAAGGTAACAGTTATGCACAAGGTCATCACAAGTCAATCCAGTAGTGAGTGCTACTATTGGGAGGTTGGTAGTTGTAAATCTGAGTCATACTCGACAGATCCCAGCTAGAAATATTTACCAACCTCCACACAGGGTAGGATGTGACACAAGGCCGAATTTAATGTGGGGCAATCCAAGCTAATATGCTTGGCCAAAAATTCCCTGTAATCCTGCATAAATGAGACTGGGTCTGTCTACCACCCCAATCAAGACTCTGCCCTTCAGCATAGCCTCATCTAGAGTCCTCTTTGCCCGAAAGCAGAGTTTAATAATACAGCTGAAACTAGTCTCAACAGATCGCAGCTAGTATATTTAGCCCCCCCCCCCACACGAGGGTTTCATGTGGCACAAAGCCGGGTTTAATGTGGGTTCTCCGAGTCCATAGGCTCGGCCAAAAATATTCCCTTTTGAACCCATATAAACGGGTTCAGGGTCAGTCAACCTCCCCGAACGAGACTGCCCTTCGGCGAAGCCTCGTTTGGGTTCCTTTCTGCCCAAAGTCAGAGAGTTCGACTGTCTAGCTGGAACAGATTGCAGCTAGGATATTTAGCCCACCCACCTACGAGGGTCTCATGTGGCACAAGGCCGGTTTAACATGGGTTTTCCGACCCAGTAGGATCGCCCAAAAATATTCCATTTCAAACCCATATAAACAGGTTCAGGGGCAGCCTACCTCCCCAAATGAGATTCTGCCCTTCAGCGGAGCCTTGTCCAGGTTCCTCTCACCCCCCCCCCCGAGGGTTGCATGTGGCACAAGGCCAGTTTAGCGTTGGTTCTCCGAGGCCATAGGCTCGGCCAAAAATATTCCCTTTTTCAACTTGCATAAATGGGTTCAGAGGCAGTCTGTCTCCCCGAACAAGACTCTGCCTGAAGGCAGAGCCTCGTCCGCGTTCCTCTCTGCCTGAAGGCAGAGTTCGACTGTTTAACTGGAACAGGTTGCAGCTAGACTCCAGTCTGTTGACTTACAGATACTTATAGGTAGTTAATGCCTATAGTGTAGTCACTCATGGGGGGGGGGGGCAGGTTATTCCATTACATCAGGTCATACGGTTGCTGCTCTGCTGAGCATATAACCAGCTCTCTCCATATATCTTCTTAGTAGACATTCATTCATGTGTAGCTTGTCTTGGGAAAAGTAGACCTGGTGGAGCCCATCTCTCTCCAGGTTGATGATTTCCAATTTGAAGGCTCAATAGTATTATGATGGTATATGCCTACAAATTATTCGTATTATAAAATGTCAGGTAACGTACAACTCTTTTTTTACTCTTAAATAAAAATCTGACTATAAAAAAGCAGTTTATTATTATTACGACATCAACAAGATGCATAAAATCAAAAGAGGGAATGCAGATAATAACGAAAGAAAATAAATAAGCTAATTCGACAGGTCTGTTTTCCGGCTTTCTCCAGGTAACTTTTTTGTTCCTTGTAGAATTGTTTGTTACTCGTATTGTATTGCTTCAGCTTATTTTTGACGCTTGTGAATTAATTATCAATACTACCTCACATTTTTAACTAGCCTCATGTTCTGTTCCAAGCATTCTTTCCTTAATACTTTGGATTTGAAAATCCATTCATGAAAAACAAAAAATAACATCCGAAATGCAATAAAAGGTGTTTTAAAGTCTTTTATGTAAAAAAAAAAAAAAAAAAAAAAAAAAAAAAAAAAAGGAAATATAAATCAACACATAAAGTAATTAGTGTAAGAATTTGTAAAACAAAACAAAAATAAAAGAATGGCCATATGCAATACATCCTATTTTTAACTTTTGGATTTGAAAAGTTGTACATAAATAACAATGAACTGTGAAGAACACGAATTGAAACAAAACAAATTCAATATAATTTACTTATTAAATTATTTTCCTACAATTAATCTCTGAAGAAAATAGCGCGGATATATTTTACATGGGAATTATTTGAATTTGTTGAGTCTGAAAAAAAAAACTTAAGCAGGAAAACGTCTTAGTCTTAACATTTTCCTTTAACATAAAACTCCTTCCTTCATATCATATTACATTTTTTATTCTAATTTTACTTACGAAAAATGTGTTTTAAAAATGTTAGAAAAATTTTGCAAATTTTTAAACAAGCATAGTACACTACACTGTCTTTCAATGAATGCCAATGTACGAGAAATTTGAGATTTCAATAAATTGAAACTCTCGTAATAAAATACTCCAAGCCAATGTATACCTTTCTGGGAGATTGAATCCATCCCAGCACCCTGAGATCGTTTTTCGTCATCATCTTCTTCGGGGTTAGGGAAATTAAATTGAAATGGCATAGAAAATGTGAATCGGTAAACAATCAAAACATGTAAACACGTGGAGAGACACTACCAAATAATTTTGTAACAATGATTCTGATTGGTCAGGATACAAATGTCAGCAAATAAGCAACTTTGTTGCTTATAAGATTTTGGGTGTTAACAAGATGGCGAAGCAAAGTGATGGATCGTCTATTGTATGGGCTTTTAAGACAAATGTTACGTGCAAAAATGGATTGTCCTGGTCTGATGATAACAGAATAGCCATGTGCGCAGATGATGGGGTTTTTATTGTGGTGAGATTTTTTTTATTGAAATTATTCTTTCACTTAGTGAACCTCTCGGGTTTGGCTCATTCAAGTTACAAGAAGTCTATTATTGAAAGATGGCTGTGTGGTCTTGGGTTCTAGCCTAGCTACTGACCTTCATAAAACTCAGCATGGCACATTCACTTTTTGAGAAATCTGATTTCAAAACAAGACAAAGGGTCTAGCTTCTAGCATTTAATTCAATAATTTTAACACCAATTTGCATATGACTATCCATTGTTTATCCCTGGGCTCATTCCATTCTATCTCACCGGACAATTATATACAAAGTAAAAAAAGGAGGAAAAGATAAAATTTTAAGTCAAGAAAATTCTGACTTTATATCAGACGAAAATCTTCTTAGGTCTATTATTATTCTCCTGGAAAAAATGCGTTGATTTTTAAGCATCAGATGTAGTAGATTTCTTTATATCTTTTTTTTTTTTTTTTACTGTACTGTAGACAAATCAGTTAAAATTTGTTATTCCACATATTTTTCGTATAATTTTCTTTATTTTTGTTTTGGGTTTTATTTTTTTTACACAATGTTTCAGCCGATAAACTCTTCATTAGCCTTCATCCCCCGATGTTTATGTAGCATACACCTGAGGAAGTTGCTTTCTTTTGTGTCAAAATTAACAATATTGATGATAGTCTGGGGAAAAAATACTTCTTTCAGAAATTCTTACGCAAAAAATAAAATAAATAATTATAAATAGGAAATTAAACTAGCTATATTAATCCGACACCGGCAAACATGTTTTCAGTATACAACTGATACATTTGTTTTTGTTTGTACTTTTTGCATAAAAATGCTTCGAGCGGTCTTAATTTTCGACTTAACACAAAAATGAATAACGTTAAACAGAAACTCCAATTTTGTTCAATCAGATTTCAGTAGGTTATACTTAAACTTTCATTTTTATTAAAAAAATTATTTTTAGAATTTAAAAATATTAATAACGCATTTTAAAAATACCATCAACTTTGTAGAAAAATGGATTTAAAGATTTTTTAGTTTAAAAACGTGATTTTAAACTTAAAATCCAGAACTGAAATCAACTGCAGTTAAAAAATTATTAAAATTAAAAGGATAACATTTTGTTTTTAACTTGCTTATTATAAATTATTGCTTTTTAAGATTAATAAAATTCATATTTGTATGAAGCAAAAAGTTTTAAAAGAAATTACAATTACATAGAGTTCTACTAAAGTAAGATAAATGAAATGTTTTTAAAATTTATGTTAGTACTTGCAAGATTCTTCAATAGTGTGTCCCTTCAGGACATGATCAGAGCCAGAATGCAGGTCCCTTTATATTTTTACTAATTTTCACTTAGTAAAAGGCTCAAAAGCCACCCAAAGTAGAAGGTTACTGAATGAGGTGTATGATAGGAACATTAGAGGAAGAAGAAGGGAAGATTATGAGGATATGGAATATAGAAAGAATAGATAATGATTGAACCTAGACTTGAAGAGGTTAGTGTTCAGGGAAAACCTCCGTACTGTTCAAGAACTACTACATTGTAGATATATATATATTCGTCTTGCAATGATAATGTTATTAAGCTTATCAGACAATATGAAAGGAACTTACTTAAAATAAATAGACAAAACTTGTCTATATTATTTAATGAAACATGCATCAATATATATATATATATATATATATATATATATATGGTGTATCAAAAATGCTTTTACAAACTTTGGGGTGGGTTCCTGGCAGCAAAACAAAGTAAAATGCCCATATAAAGATATGTTCAAAAAGCCATCGTTCTACCGCAACACAGCAAGTCATAACAAATGTTCAAAATGTCTTCCGCTTGCTTTTACGCATACATGCACCAGTTCCTGTAAGCCATGTTGGGAGAACATGGATCATGCAATCACCTATAATTCCAGCCCACACATTAATTGTAAACTGATGCTGGTGTCAAGACTGTATTGTCTCATGGGGATTCCAATCCACTCACAAATGTTGGTTGTGTAAATTTGTTATTTCATCTCTTCCAAATGCTGCCTCGTTTGTAAACAAGACTGAAGAGACAAACAACGAATTGTCAGTTTGTGCAATAAACCATCAGCAAAAGTTCTGTGGTGAGTGATCAGAGGGCAAAAGACTCTGCACATGTTGCAAATGATACAGGAGCTGCTCTTGAAGTACGTTTCATGCAGTACTATGACAACACAGCACCACCTACCATAAACTTTCTTTAAACTTGATAACTCAAAAAGAAAGGATTTGTGGAAATATGTTTATATGGACTTTTGTCCTTGTTTTGGTGTGAGGAACCACCCTAAACTTTGTAAAAATATTTTTGATACACCTATATATATATATATATATATATATATATATATATATATATATATATATAGTGTATTGGGGCAGCAGATCATTATTTAAACATGTATTGTTAAATATAACAGACAATGAATGTCTGTTATTTCTGATCGTGAGCTGTTCTAATGTTTGTATGTTTGCTTTAATTTTGGGTGTAAATAAAGACAAAAATTGTCCAATATTTGGATATTTTTTTTTTTAAGTCCTTGATTAAGCTTTTGACTCACATGAGCCACCTTCAGAGTGGTTATACGGACATTTTAACAAAGATATTCACCATTGAAGATAATATTTTATGTTGACATAGAAGATTGCTATGTGACGATAACGGTTGCGGAATAGCAGCTGCAGGTCGTAAATTCATAATGCAGTTCTATGATGTCATACCATGCAAGAGGCTGAAATATTAACAACAGAACCATATGTCTAGATGCAATGTAATGTGTTGTGATTAGTTTTAAATTTTACATTTCAAACTAGTCACAATGTAGAAAGTGGAGATGTTGGGCTGAGTTCAAATTTTGACTTTGTCAGCTGCATTCACTATCACACCCTTGGGGAAAGGCCTGTAGTATACAAACATACACAAAGGAAACATAAGTTGCATTTTATATACACTGATGGAAAATGAAATTACAACCCTGAAAATGTGTTTCAATTTATTTAGTTAATATATGTGAATTACAATAAATGGCCACATATACAAATCAATATATGCACAAATGGTGTATCAACAGTACTAAGATATACTAATACACTGTATACCTTGGAAGATATACAAATCTGTATATCAGACTAACAGTATGTAAGCAAATGACAAAATGCAAAAAATGCTAAGTGATGTGTTTCACTATGAGAAGAAATTATTACTCTGAAGAAGTTCCTTCACAGAATGAAATGTGTCACTTGAGAGTTTTCCATTTTGTCATTCATTTAGCCACTGTATATGTTCCTTGAGCATTAACATTGTAGAGATGCTCAGATCTCTCCTTTTTATAGTTGTTGTTAATGTTTTGGCTGACCTTTTTTTCAGGATTCATCAAGTGTAAACTATTAGAACAAAGGAAACATAATTCCTTCCAGAAACATTAATATATTCACTGGACAAGTCTATTTGCACAGGGTCAGGTAGACTAAGTAACAAGCAGATTCCAAATTACACCAAGGGTGGAGAGCTTCCTGACACTGATGGATTACACCAAATATGAGATTAAGAATGGACTGGCTATAAATGTATTAAAAAGAGGAAATAAAGATTAAAATGCCTTAACAATATTGGGTATATTAACCATTAAATGGTGAAAACATATTGCAAGAGTATGCAACAAAAAACTTTGCTAATTGAACTGATGTGTTCAAGATGATTTGACCATAAGCCTTACAATCAATGAAAGTCCTATTAAAGAAAATGTACCTCTTAGCATAGACTAGTAGCATGGCCTGGCATTGCCCGTGCTTGAGTCAAAAATCATACGACTCATACAGCAATCACTATCACTTGACTTAAAATATTTTTGCTCTCCCTTGCCTTTAAAGGAGTGCCCTTTGCCGTGCTGATGTTGCTACATGCCTTACTTCTTGCCTATCTCACACTGCGAATTTTTTCTAAGCTCTATACTAAACATTAAATCTGTTACGAAAAAAGAACTAAACAAAATGAACACAAAACGATCAGCTTTAAAAGAGGACTCGTAACTGGAAAAACCGAATGAAAAATGTTAACAACAAATACTTTTCACACTCAACCCAGTTCTGCGGAATCAGAATCAACGTTGAGTTTAAGCAAACGAATGAGCCAATTGGAGTAAAGTGCCATGCAGATTTAAATTTTTCCCACTTGTGACGAATACAGCTATCGATTTTTTTGCATGCTAGTTAACAATCGTGTCAGTCAGCTGTTGGCTCTCACGCTGACCAATAGAATCTTCCTGCCTATTCGTGGCAGCCAGCTATAGGCTCTCACTTTAGCCAGTAGAAAATGGCAGCAAACTACATGAAAACTGCCATAGAAGCATGAAAAAATCGATTATTTTCACTATCGATGGGAGTTGGGAAATGCAAAGTCAGTCTTGGCCTTCCCACTAACTTGGAATATGTGCATGTAAATTTTGGTGCAAATCCGTCGAAAACTGCAGCCATGCATTTGTCATATATACACACACACACACACACACACACACACACACACACACACACATCCTGCCTTTTATAGATAGAGATTGAACCTGCATTCTCTCTCTTTTTTTTTTTCTTTTTTTTTACTTTAAAACAATGGTTCCCAAATTGTAATGATAATTTGCTTGCGCCTCACCAAATTTGATGTGATAAAAAGTACATTTAAAAATAAAAATTAGAGAGAGGGTTAAAGGGAGATAATCATGGATTCAAAGTCAGAACATTATCATTGATAACTCTCTCCTCCAATTTGTGGACCCTAGTTACTATATTCTTAAGACTTGATATAATGTAAGAATATCACAATGATAAAATCTGTCAATAATTATTTATAACTGTTTATACTGGGATTCATGCATTTAATTTAAGAAATGTACAGATCTTATTGGGGCCTTTCAAAATTGTAAATGCTAACTTGGTTTTTGGTACCTAAAACCAAAATGTTTATGTTTTTGATATGAAATTAATTAAAAAGTAAATTCACTACTTAATGATTACTCTGTTAATATTTCATGTACAAAACACAGGTTGTTTATATGATGAAAAATAAAGAAAAAAATTCTCTGTAGTGTTAATGATTATCTCCAAAGTAGAGAGAAAATATATATTTTTCACTGTGTTTCTATAGTCAGATATTGTCAAGTCATTCCTTTCCATACATAAATCCGTGATCCAAGAGACTGCAATATTAACACATACCTAGAAGATCTTGGATTTAGTGATTGGCCAACATCTCATTGGTAATTCTATTTATATTAACACTTTTTCAAATCTGTTTTAAAATCTTAAGTGTTGAAGTCATCATATCATTTGAAAATCGTTGAATTTCTTTATATATAGAAACAACTGTCTCTGTAAACAAAAAGATTATTTGTATTTATTTAAAATCACGGTTATTACTTAAGTTCACTTATTTTAAGATCTTTCTCTTTCACTTACTTTCTATCTTTCTCGTTCAGTTATTTGATTTTTTTTAAATTATAATGAGATGAAAGATAAGAATAATATTTAGAATTTTTATACTTTATTTGTATTGGTAATTTCACTTATTGTTTAATTTTCTATTTCTGACGAATTAAATTCCTTAATTTCACTAGTTCTAACCTTTATGGGGAAGAACCACCATACTACACACATTGTAGCAACCCACCCTCATTCCATTGGTAAGTTCCATTTGAGCAGCTTCTTCCCACAAGATGCTGCTTAGTGGAAACAACTCCCGAGAGAATGCTTCCTCAAACCCTGCAATCTTAACCTGTTCAAGACTAGGATCAACTGTTACCTCCCCTACATATCCCCATAAACTGTCCTACTTGCTCTGTAACCCTCTACCTCGAGTGACTCTTGAGTCATGTACAGGGTGAATATTATTGTAAAAAATGAAAAAAATAATCCTCTTTGATAAAAAAAAACAAACTGGCCACTTAAGAGGACTTGCACCACCTTTCTGTTTTTATCAATAGTAATTTTCAATAAATCTCAGCTTCTTTTTGTGTATAATTTATTTAGATTTTTTTAATTAAATTTTTGGATTTTGAAACTCAATAATTTTTTTTTTTTTTTTGTTGACAGGAACTTACAACTAATTTCCATTTGATGCGAGGGACTCTTATTGCAAGAAGGACCATGATTCATCCTCATTCTGACATTTTCTGCAGCACAGAAATATTCAGTATTGACGAACTGGAAAATCAATTATCAAGAGGTAAAAAAAAAAAATTGTACCTTTTTTATTAAATGTAATTTAAATACAAAATTTTTTTTTTTTAATCTCCAAACCATTTCACTGCTAATGACTCTCTGCCAACTCATCATTTAAAGCAGTTGCTCCCAACCAAAGTCTATATGGCCCCAGGGAGGAGTAGTTCCACACAATAAAATAGCAAATTGAAGCTCCACAGTAATATTTTAGTGGTCCATAGAGCAATTTCATTTCGAGATGGTTGTTGCAACTGGGGATTGTAATTTCTACACTAATCTACACCATATTAAAATACTAAAAATAGAAAAACAACTTCAAAAATAGAAGAATGAGATCAAGATATGTAAGTTAGCGGACCTTTTCCTCTGCCAGATGTTTTGATTGTAAACGTTGAATAAAAACTGAGAAGGATATATAAAGGAAAGATTATATATATATAAATATATATATATATATAAATTATAATTTATTATGTAAATTAATTTAATATATTATTAATAAATAATAATACTAATTTTAAATATTAATAAAATATTTATATAAATTAATTAATAGAGTAATAGACTTGACATTGTAAAAAGGGGAGTGGTGATCTTCAACTGTCATTGGCATCAATGGTGCCAAATATAAAAAAACTCACAGAGCAGCATCAGCCACATGGATCTCATTGAATAAATCTGCACTTCTTTAAATTTATTAATTACTCACATATTTTAAAATGGTTTATTATGAATTATTTTACTAGTGTACAAAAATGTTCCATTAGAATTTAATTGTTAAATACAAGTTTATATTCATTAAATTAGTTTTACTTCAAAATAAAGCATATACATTTACTGTTTCTATAATACAATTCCAAACTTATCTATTAGTAAAAAAATTTTTTTTTTTTTTTGTTGAATGGTTATGGAGATCAAAAAAAAAATTAAGAGTAAAAGTGGTCAATGGGTAAAAAAAAAAAAGGGATTGAGAACCACTGATTTAAAGAATGGTTCAAAGAATTCAGTTTTTCAATTTCAAATGATTACAAATATAGACATACCACCAGTTCTTTTGTATTGGTTGTTGTGCCAAAACCATTGCTAGATCAACTGAGTAAGAAAAAATCCGTATTGTAACTACTTAAATAGGTGAATCGATTTGTAAAAATAAGGAAAAATATTTTTGGAAATAATTTTTGTGCATTAACATTATTTAGATCTTCCTTAGGCTTTGAAATTTGTTAGAATAAAATAACTCTTGACATTTTTATATTTTGATTTCAAGGTGAAGTTTTGTTTATAATATCGATTGTGTCAAAGCAATCCTTGACTTTTACAGAGTTGTTGGGCTTTGCATATAAAAACAGACTTTACAAAGAGATTTCTTTTAAAAAAAAATCAGATATATACATTTGCATTTAGCAAACAAAAATTTACATATATTATTAAAATTATCCATTTATTCTTCATTTAAGATGGATAATTATTAACCTCAAATGTTTGTGCAAATGCTTCCGAAAAAAATCACATACAAAAAAGAGTTTTTAAAAGAATTACATAAAGAAAAAATTGGAAAATTAAAAAAATATGTTCATATCAATGATGTTACCACAATTTCAAACATGACATTAGTAAATAACAATTGAGTCCAATAACTTTGTAAAATTCAGGGATCAATTTGACACTGTATTGATATTATAAACAGTATTCCTCTTGTAAAATGATAAATCAATATTTTCTTTGATTCTGACACTGAGATCTCTGGAGGTTGATCAAACAAAAAGAGAAAGAAAGAAAAGAAGGAACAGGAGAGAGAGAGAGAGAGAGAGAGAGAAGATGGTTTGATGAAAATTAAAAGCATTAAAAAATCATGTTTTGAGATAATTCCAAAAAAAATCAAAAATATGTGGCATAGTAGTGAATGATTGTGAACAGACTAAGTGGAACTGTGCCACCAATATCAGTGACAAAACAAGTCACACACTAACAAGTGAAGAGTCAGCTAAATGGTAACCACCACGGTCTGAAGGAACTTTAGGAGGACCGATGACTCGGTGACATATTTGGTTTGCACTGATAAGGATGACAGTGATGTTACATTGTGGCTGAAGGAAGATCTGAAAAATGCTAATCTACAAAATGTTTTTTAACTTTTAAAAATTAAAAAAAAAAAATTTTTTTAAACTTAAAAAAAAAAACTGATATATATATATATATATATATATATATATATATATATATTATATATATATATATATATATATATATAAATAAAAAAGAAAAGAACAGTAAGATATAAAAAGTGTTCTTATAGATATTTTATTTTTACAAAATAGTGCTCAATGTAAATTTACAAAATGATTTTTAATTTTTTAAAAATGTTTTAAAAAAAAAATAATTTTTGCAAAAAATTAAAAAAAATTTCATCTTCAAGCGAATTCCAAAATTCGCTTGAAGATGAAATAGATATATATATATATATATATATATATATATATATATATATATATAATTTTCTTTATGAGTGGGCCAGTGTATTTAAGTAGTGCTGTTGATCTGCCAATCTACATTCACACAGTTATTTTTGGTATTCTTTTATAAGGTTTTTAAAATGTATTTGCTTCTTGTACTTACTGTTTCCACCAAAACCAAATAAACCCCAAATCCCAGAAATTTTCTAAATCTCTCGTAACATCATTGCTAATCTTGGAAAATGGCAGTTATAGGAATTTTAATTTCTTATGATTCTATTTAGACTAAAAAAATGGGTTAAAGCACCAATGAACAGAATATTTGTATAGTTCTGAAAATATATTTTTAAAATATGCTACATAGTTTTTTTTATTTTTTTATTTTTTTTTAGTAATTTTAAAGCTGTGTTCAATAATATTATTTTAATTTAAATCTGTATCTTTGTTCAGAGGACTTCAATTCCATCCTTCTTGACCGAACAATCTGCCCCAATGTACAATATTCTATTCCACCCCAAGGATACAAATCGGCAAGCTGGTCTCCCAAAGGTGCAGATGATGTAGGCAGGTAAGTACAGATAAATACAGGCAAGTCCATTGTAGAGCATGATTCAAGACAAATTTATCTGCAGTGTAAACATGTCTTGGTTTCCAAATATTAAAAAAAAAAAAATTAAATCAACATTGCAAATATTTCTCACAAATTTCATGAGATTCATTTAGTAAGAATTTAGAATGTCTGTGCTTTTTGTATTAAAGATGATGGGCAACATGTAAACTAAAAATACTTGAAAGAAAAAGAACCATGTTGTAAAAGTTTTCATGAAGCCTGTTCCATATTGTATTTCCTCAGGATTTCAATAACTAAATAATTTCCTTATAACCTGGTGCTACTTCCTGGATCTTCATACAGGTTGAGAATCCTTTATCCAAAATTCTTGGGACTGGAAATGCCTTAGTTCTCAGATTCTTGCAGATTCTGGTATACAGGCTATTTAATTTGTATATTGTTGTCATTGGCATCTGTCTGTCTCGAGAGATGATAGAGTAGCACAATGCGCTATGAGCCTGGGAGGGATATATTGAGAACTACTAGTCAGACATCTAGTTCTCCCTCTCGGCTTTGCTAGCAGAGTCCAAAGGAGAGGATAAACCAATACAGTTTGGTAACAGCGCGGCTGCAAGAGTTGCCGGAAGGTAGCACAAAGTGCTGTCCATCCGCCTTAGGGGCTCCACTTCGGGTTTGAATTCAGAGTTGTCGTCCTCCTAGACCAGTTGCCATCCAAGGCTATAGAACCCAGTTGGTCCTGCTATTTACCCTTAGCTGGAGGGAGAAGAAGATTCACACCTTTCCTAACCTAAAGGTAGTTTTATATAAATAACATATATTCTAAAAGTAGTTTTATATATGTGTACATATAGATACAAGTAATGACACTAGTTATTTTACTAGTTACTTTTTATATAATGTTCACATGGATTTTTATTTGGTCAAATTAAGATTTCGTGTAAAAAAAAAAAAAAAAATAATGATTTGTACTTCCTGTACATGTACAAAAAACATGATCACTATTTACAAAAATTATATAAATGCAACTAAAAACTACTTCAATATCAGGTGTGAGAAACTGAAGCAAGAGGGTAGTTTTTTTTGTTTTTTTTCCAACTGTTTGTCTTCCTCTGATATTGATAAACATAAATGCTCTCATTTTTTTTCTTTTCACTACCCATATGTGTATCTGCAGGACATTTTGAATAATATCTTTACTGAACATGAAACACCTGGTAAGTAATCCATAGATGACAGTGTTGCTGTGACGATTGCTAAAAGAAACTGATATCAACGTAGACTACGTAGCTTGGTTGGGGAACCCCCACCCAGAGCAGATGAGGGTCACTTACAACAGCTGCACATCACCTAGGAACCTTCCCAGTACTTTCTCAAATGTTCTATTTGTAGCAAGTCATGTCAGTACCTGAAAAACTTTCAGATTTTGGAATTTTGAATAAAGGATACTCAACCTGTATCTTGTTATATTGTGCAGGTTGGCATAGAATGTTGGTTTTTGCATTCATATGACTAAAATCAGACTTTCAATCTACTAGGAGATCCTAGTCTGGTATACTCTTTATATATTTGGTTCTATGATACCATAACTTGTACTGAAAACAAGCAGGGAAAGATTGTTTCTAAGGGATTTGTAAAGTTATTAACTATTACAGAGTTGGTTTTTTTTTGTCTGCACCAGACTTTTAGTAAGGCATTTTCACAATGTCAATTAAGGTAAAAAAAATGAATATTTCTGATAACAAGTTTACCAAACTTGTTGCTTCTTTTCAGGTGTGTAATTGCTTGTTTGGCTATTGACCATCGTCTGACTCTGTGTCGAGAAGATAGATACAGAAGCACCTGGATCAAGGTAATTGTCACTCATGTACTCATTAAACCCACTCTGCTGATATGAAAATATAAAGATTGAGCATTTTACCTGTTATCTTGTAATTTCTTTTCAAATGTGTTTCTTTATAAAATGGAAAATAATAAATATTGCATTGTATTTGATTCACATATTATATATAACATTGCCACTGGAGTAAAAAGTGATAGTGGTGTCAAGGGAATAACTGTCCTTTTGACACACTTTTTTTTCTTTTTGGTGGGGATATCACAAAGGTTAAAAGGAATTGCTGAAAAGGAATGTGTGGAGAGTCATTATTGCCTAAGTTCTGAAGGGACATAGTGAAAAATAACTTTATTGTGAACTTTATTGAAAATTCAGTAGTAATCTTTATTTAGCAATGTCTGTTATTCACAACTATGAAAAAAAATATTTCTCTTACAATGTTTTTATGAAGCTCAGGGTAGCTCCAAAATGACTAACACCTTTTTGTTATTTCTAACAAAAGTTAACAATTTACTTTTTATACTTTAATTTTTTTTTTCTTTTTTAGTAATTTTAAAGCTGTGTTCAATAATATTATTTTAATTTAAAATCTGTATCTTTGTTTTGTTAAGTTTCAGAGTTGTAGCATTTTGAAGTTGACAGTTCAAAGTGAGGACACAAGTCTAAAGAGACTAATGCACAATATTATTTTTTTCAAATGATTCTTTTGTTTTCTTTCAGATTATTGACTGTTCCAAAGTTTATGAAGGCATTTGGAAGAAAAACAACAGCAATTATTTGAAAACTGGACAAATCACACTCGAATATTTGAGAACTATTTCTCATGCAGTGGCAGCAGTTGGTAAGATGATCATTAGTTTTAATATTTAAAAAAAAAAAATAGAAAAGTATTACAGATGGAACTTCCTACTGTGTGTCGATAGTTTTATATGAAACTATCCTTTATTTGGATTTTAAGAGTATCACAACTATTTACTACCTTTGTGCAGCATTGCAAAATAATCAATAATGTTTTCATTTTTATGTGGTTCTCTATATAAGAAGTCCTTTTGTAAACCAGACATTTTGAATTTTACAGAATATTACATAGTGCACATTAAAGATGTTAGAAAGCCATTTGGAAAGAAAATAAAGAGTAATACTCATAAAACCGACATCGGATATAATGTTCAAATGTTTTGTAACTGTATAAAGGTTGATGAATCTAAATTCTCAAGGTCATTTCTTTTTGGCTACCTACTCAAATATAATCTAATAGTGTTGAATAATTTTGTTGTAAATTCTAAAGAACAAAAAAAAATGTAAAATTTACTTTCATCATATGTTTAGGCTTCATTACAGTTCTAATCATTTGTTTTTAAAACAATAAACATTGCCAAGGAGTGAAGGTAGTTAAAATAATAGTGGTGTCAAGGGAAAAATGTCCTTTTGATACACCTTTTTTTTTTTTTTTTTTTTTTTTTTTTTTTTTTTTGTGGGCACAAAGGTTAAAGATTGCTGAACTTTCATTGGTCTTCAACCAAATGTGTGCGTGCATGTATAAATTAACATATTTGATAAGCATTTATAAACCTATATACTCTATCAATAATGCAATTATTCTTCTCTTGACTTTGATGAGTATTAACATAGTGAAACTTTTAGTCAGTTTAAATAAATATCTTAAACATTTTTTTTATTTCTTGATTGCATGGATTCTCAAGGAAGGTTGTTTTCTGGGTCTGTATTTTCATGTGTGAGAAATGTGAAGAGGCATCATATTTACACTTCCAGCCAGACGAATAAACTAAAAAAAGCATAAAAATAGCTTTCAAAAAATTGGTTCCAGCAAAGGTATCCATAGGCCCAGTTTCTTTTTAAATATAAACTTAAGTTTAAAGATTAATTTTTTGTATCTCAGAAGACAGGAATAGTAACCTTGAAATACATTCATAATTTTAAAAATTAACACTGAAATATATTATGAATGAAATTTTTGTCAAACAATTTTTATCTTTTGGTATGTTTATTTTCATAATTATTTATTTGTGTGTGTGTGTGTGTATATATATATATATATAGATATATATGTCATCCACAGACAGCTTGTTTTGTTGTATCATAGCTCATCAGTGTGGTTAGACATTTGATTACTTCAAGCCAGGATTGAAACTCGACTGATTTGACATTAGTCAGAGACTCTTACCCCTAGGCTATCAGCGCATATCAGAGAAAGGAATTTTTTTACACATTATATTCATGCTATATAGGCACAATTCCAGCCACCATAGCACTCAATTCTTACAAAGAGCAAGATATATACATACATACATATGCTGGACTCTCACGTCATATTTGATATATCAGTGTCAGCAACTCGGTTCCTAGGAACCGACAGCCCAAACATCAGCACATATGATTTGATAATAGTGGTGAAGGGCTTGTGCAGAACCAATCACACTTTTTGAAGAGCCGAATACAGAGACCTGGTGAACTATGTGCCACAAGGTCCCCAAACAACCTTCTGCAGGTTTTGAATTCAAAGTTGTCCTTCTCCTAGACCAGTTAACATTCGAGGCTATAGAACCCAGTCTGCCCTGCTAATTACCCATAGCTGGAGGAAAAAGAAGAGGATTCATACCTTTCCCGAGGGTATTGGTACGTAAATGAATGTAATGGTTTCAACTGGAATTTGAACTTGGCTCTCCAATCCATTACCCACTACTCCACAGTGTCTCCGATATATACAGGGTGGCAATAAAGTCACTATACAGTTACTTATAATAAAAAAGAAAAGCATTAAAGCAGGTGGCTTGCAGTTCGAACAGTATTGGTAATTAATTTACTATTGTTATTAACCAGAAACATTTTAATAACAAATTTCTGGACTATTGATTAATTACTTTGTCTCAATTGTTATTGTAATTAACTGTATGGTGACTTTATTGCCACCCTGTTTATAGGAAATCTATGACAAAGTGGAAAAAGCTTTCATGTGACATGTTTCATCTTCTTTTAGGACTTCATTGAATTAAAGTGAGGTTTACATGAATGTGACTACATATGCAGATGAAGAAGAGGGGACACTGAAATTTTAAATTTAAACAAATAAATAACAAAAGTCATAAAAACAAAGAAAAAGAAACTAAATCGACTAGACTATATATGCAAAACATTTGGAAAAAAAAAATTTAAATTTTAAATTCTCAGCATCCACTCTCTTTTATGCACATGTGTTGTGTAGTTGCATCAACATAAACATCCTGATGAAATCCTAAAAGATGAAACACATCACAAGAAAAAACTTTTTTCCACTTTGTTATAGATTCCTCTAAAATTGTTCTTGATATATAAAAATTTATATCATTTTCCCATATACAGGGTACTATGTGTAAATTGTCAGCATTTTATATTTTCAATTTCACACATGCACGTTGTTTGTTTTTGATTTTGTCGACTGCACAGTATATTAGATTCAGTTGAGCACTCTCTGTGAGAAAAAAAAACACCATGACAGAATTCACTCTGCCAGAAATTTGGAAACAGCATGTTGTACTGCTTGGCATTCATACTGGAAGCTCCAATACAAACATTATCAGAGTGTTTGGGTGTCAATCTGAAGACTGTGCTAAGGATTTGAAAAGAGTTGGATGAGTCTAATGGTGATGATGACATATACTTCCATTCAACTTCCCATAGTTTCTTAGATTCAACATGGAGGCCTACATCAAGTAGTGCTGCCCTAGGTGAAGAGGGTATCTGCTGGAAGACCGTATGCCTGGCAACAGGACTCTGTACCATGCCACACAAACAGGAGAACCCAATCATGGCTGTCAGGCAATTTCTGTGACCACATCACCTCTTACATCTGGGCACCTAACTCCTCAGACTGTAACCCCATTAATTATTATTATGTGTGGGCACAATTGAGCAAGAGACCAACAAAATTCCTTGTAAAACCAAAGATGAACTGAAGGCAAGGCTTATGGCAGCATTCACCAACTTAAACAAGGAGACTGTCCAGAAGAGTTGCAGGAGATTCTGAAGTCATTTGGAGGCCATGGTTGAAGCAATTGATAGTTTTGCATAATTTCAGTAAATATATGTGTTAAATTGAGATGTCAGTGTTATTTGTCCAATGCACCCTCTGTGTATGTGTATACGAATGTGTGTATGTGTGTGTGTGTGTGTATATATATATATATATATATATATATATATATATATATATATATATATATATATAGTGTGTGTGTGTGTCCATAAAGTTCGTGTGCACTTTAAAAAATTTATAACTTTATTTGTATTTGTGATAGAAATAATTTGTAAAAAGGATTAGAAAGAAGTAAATCTATATTTTTTAAGGTTTTATTGAAATTTTATTTAAGTTTCCACATGTCCTCCATCATTAGCAATACAAAGGGTAATACGTTTTTGCAGTTCACGGGAAACATTTGCCAACTGATTTATAGTAATGCCTGAAATCACATTAGTCGTTTTAGCTATACTTAAAACTAGGTACATTAAACTTTATAAAATGTTTTACAGATTATTTCTATCACAAATCAAACAAATACAAACTTTATGGACATCCTATATATATATATATATATTTTTATAAGTTGGCCATCTCTCTATTTTGAAATTTCAAAGTAGAATATAACAACCAGTATTTGTTGTATTTCTTCCCTCACTTTTTTTCCTTTTTATTTATATAACATTGATTTAAAACCAATGGATGAAGATGAACACACCACTACTCAGTTATCCTTTTACCCATCATTATGATATTTTTTTTTTATATATATATATTTATATATTATATATATATTTTTATATATTTTGTTTTGTTTTTTTTAAATAATATAAGTGTTGTTTTTTTTTTTTTTTTTTTTTGTTACTTTTGTTGCCATGCAATCTGTAATGGGTAGAATATTTTGAAATTTCAAAGTATTATATATATAACAACCAGTGAAGAAAGCAAAAAGCTCTCCCAACTGGTATTTCAAGGTATTTGTTGTATTTCTGTTCCAAATCACACACTTTTTCCCCCTTTTTAGTTGTTTTTATAGTTGTTATAACATTGATTCCATGTCCCATAATGCAATAATTGTTAATGTAAAAAAAGTCCCCCCCCATTTCATTTCAACTGAAGATGCAAACACACGGGGACAACTCGCGACCAGTTATCCCAGGTTTTGTCTTTTACACTCCCCCTGATCCGGATCAGATTATTCTGATACAGATTTTTTTATATCCAGTCTTTCTCATATATTTATTAGTAATTGTAAGCAGTTGTGGGATTCAAAAAAGGGCGAGGTCTCTAACATGAAGGCGTTCCATTTTTAACATTGAAATATTTTTTAAAAAAATTTTGTTTTGTTTTTTTTTAAATAAAAATAATTTCAAAGTGTTGTTTTTTTTTTTTTCTTTTTTTTTGGTTACTTTTTGTTACCAAACTAAATTGTTTTGTGTCAATCACTGTAAGAAGGGTAGAATGACACCAGCAGATTGCCGCCATACTACAGAAGAGAATAGCAAATTTCCTTTCTTCCAATGCACTGGTGCTGGATCCTCGATTGGCAGGCTTCAAAACGCAACCTCTTGTATTATATACTGATTTTGTTTTTTTAAAAATAACACAAACAAAATCTCCACTGGATGAGGGCCGATTTAGGTCAGTGAACATGCAGATCCATTTGTTCTCCTTGGCCATTTGCACACAGCTGAAGTGGAGTAAACTGGTGCCTTTGCAGGGCAAAAAACTCAAGCTGATTTTTCTGCCAATGGTGAGTAGTAATTTTCTTTTGGATGACTGCAAGTAAATGGAGTTGATCTTAAGGCTTTCCGAGATCTTTTACTCATCTTTTACAATTGCATAAAATGTTATGGCAACAGCAACAAGACAATCAAATATTCTGAACTTTTAAATCACTTTCCTATTGTTATACTTCAAAATTTATTTTTTCCCCCTTATTTTTATTCAAATTGTTTTGCAGCCACTAAAGGTATAGAATTTTTTCTGTTGCAGCCATGGCATGGTCTGCCACTTATGAGGCATTTCCTGCAATCATTCATCCGGCTGATCATGGTCTTATGATGCAAAGCTCAACAGAGAAAAACAAATTTTCCATATTTGCTTCAGCAATGAAAAATGGAGACGTTGTCTTCTGGAAAGTCTATTTTCCTTTGGTTTCAAGGTAAAAATATGATTATTGATTTCTACTCTATATTCATACCCGTGGTACATTGTTTGTTAAAAAAAATATACAATAGTTATGGAATTTAGAAAATTTTAGTAATACAAATTACTAGAAGAGGAAATTAATTTATACTATATTATTGTACTATATTATTTGCTAAATTTAATTTATTCTGACACAAGGCCACAAATGTAGGACACTTAGTAACAATAAAATTTATTATAATAGTAAAGGTTTGCAAAGTGACACAATGAGTCCCTGGTTTGCAGCCATATCACATTAAATCACTTGTTCTTGTTCGATCACCAAAGTTAAGCAACATCAAACCTTGTCAATCCATTTTGAAGAATCAATATAATAAGCTTAGATGAAAAAACAGTAACCACTAAATTGGGAATACCATGTGCTTGGTTATGCAGGTTGAATTGAGAATGGAAAAAAAGAGAGTTGTTGAGTTTGCATTCTAGATCCCAATTCATTATGCCCCATGTTAATATTCATGCCCATGTCCCATAACACACATTGTTTTGGATAAAACGTATGCATCCCCCATTCATTTTTTATGTTATCTGGCCGAGGATGGATTCCAGAGCGTAAGTGCTTTTTTTCTCTCTCCTCATTTCAACTGCAGTATGGATTAATTACTAAGAGGTTTGTATACAAACACAAACAAAAAATCAATTTTAGTTAATCCATTTGACCCCTCTGAGTGGAGTAAAAAAAACTTACAATGGTGAAAATATTTTCTTTTGGATGACTTTAAATAACTTTGGCAATCTTTTAGGTTGATAAAATCAACAGCAAAAAAAATCAAAATTCTGAACTTTTAAATCAATTAACTTCAAAAATCGGTCTCCACTGAATTTTTTGTTAGGATACCCACATTTTTCATTCAATCAGACAGATGCAAAATCAACAGAGAAAAAACATTTATTTGCTTCAGCAATAGGCCTGATTTTCCTTTGGTTTCAAGGTAAAAATTTTATTGATTTGACTATATCCACTTCATTGCCAGTAAATTGGGACATGAGTGTTTTTAGATAGATTTTATATCTGTTTTTTTTTTTTATTATTTTAAGAGTATTTTGTGAACTGGATATGATGCTCAGGACCTGTGAATCAGAAGGAGGTCTAATTTGCAGTAGTGTATAATATTGGTATGACATTATAGTCGACAGAGAAGGGATAGTGAGTGATATAACACTTTCCAGTTAGTACATATCCAGGCAGTAGCAGCAAGCATTTTATTATCCACTTCATTGCCATTTGGGACATGAGTGTTTTTTTGACAGGGATCTGTATGAAGAATGATTAAAAATACTATGTATAATTTTAAGGTGGTCATCAGCAACTCAAGAGTTGTGTTGATTTTATTGTTACCCCATTTTGACCAATCTGACCAATCTATGCTTTCTTCAGTTATACAGTCCATAAAAGATTGGCCATCTTTTCTTTAAAGACGGATGGTAAACAGAAATAAAATGAAGTTTGTTGTTTAAGTGATTCTTAGAGAATACTGGAGCATTATTACACCAATGCAGAAACTTAATAGATGCTTTTTATTTTTATTTTTTTTATTGTACATAAATTTTTGATGCATGAGAAAAATGTGTTCTTTATTATTATTATGTTGATGTTACATATCAACATATTATGTTGACGTTACATATCTACATAGCCAACGGAAATTCTCTTCTTGAGACATAATGTCGAAAAGATTCCTCACAACAACTTTTTGGAGAATCTTTGCAGAGTAAATGATTGCCGTTTTCTGGAGGTCTATAATCTTGGACTCAATTCCAATTTTCCCTAAGCACTCCGTCAATTTTCTAGATATTATTACAAGTGTACCCATTATTACAGAAAATTTGTCCTGGGTATGACAATAAATTACATTCAGCAGCAAGGCCTCTGATCAGGAAATTGAAGGTTTTGGGGAGCATGGAACCATCTCTTAACTGCTGTTGTTCCCAGATCCCCCCTGACTTGGGGTGGTAGCACCTGCTAGGGTCTCAGCTATGGGCAAATAATGATCTAAACAAAAATCAACAACAGATTTTTTCTAGTAAAATGACCACCAACAGATTTTTCTAGTAAAATGACCACCAACAGATTTTTCTAGTAAAATGACCAACAATACATTTTTATAACAAAATGATAATGCAACACTAAAAAAAATATAAAAATACATTTTTATAGTAAAATTACTAGCAATACATTTTTTATAAAAAAAAAAAATACCAACAATACATTTTTGTGGTGAAATTACCAGCAATATATTAAAAAAATATACCAACAATACATTTTATGACCTACAAACTATATATTTAAAAATCACATCTTTATCCTGAAAGCATAAAATTCTATACAAAAAATCTCGTTAAAAGCATAAAAATTATGTACAAATTATTTAGATTTCAGCAGTAAATAACCCATAAAAGTTGATATGCCACTAAACAAAATCAACCAACCAGTTATTATAGTAATTACTTCATGTTAAATAGCTTTTTCAACTCCCTCACCAAATTGTGGTATGTTTTTCAATCTTTTCATTTTCTTTGCCATTCTCTCTTATATGGAACAACAAAACTAATAATTTGACACTTGCTATTCTCCTCATCTATTACAATAAATATTAGATTTTTGTGCTTCAATGACACAATCTGTCTTGACCAGAAATCCCAAAATATCTTCATTTTCTGCCATTGCTTCTGATACGATGAATCTTGCTTGACTCCTGTTTTTGGTTAGTAAAATACAACATATATTCATCACAACAACAAAGTGAGACATTTATAAGAAATAACCAGAAGGATTTATTGTCCAAGTTCAATGGAGTAAGAAAATCCTTGTAAATATAATGGGACTGTTAGTAGAATATTTCTGGTTTGTGTTGGGTAAATGAATAGAGTTTTTGAAAGTTATAAGTTTGTTAGCAAAGGTTGCATTTAATAAGAGAAAGTGATATTTGGGTAAGTTGACTTATCTGTGGTTTTCATTTCTGGAGCTGCCCAATTCCACATGCTCTCTTTCAAGAGTTCAGTTGAAAAGAGGAAGGGCTCTAAATTTCCAGCCAGTAGGATGGTTTCCCTTTTTCTATGGAAGAATGGGAATTAGATTATTTTTTATTTCATGTGATCATGAGATCACTACAATATTATTTCTTGTTGTAATGGAATGTCCCACATTCCTTATTGCCTGTGTGGGCTGACTATATCAGTAGCTATCTATAGTGAGCACAGGATATACCTGGGGTTGGCTTTGGGAATTACTAGTCTGCCACCCAATTCCCTGTCTTTCAGTAGTGTATTCACTTTAACAATAAACCTCTCTTTCTTTCAGCTACACGCGTGTTGCTGTTTTTTCAATCAAGTACCACCTTTTGTCTGTCTGTAACCTCTTTAAGGATACAACTTTTCTCTTTCACATTGAAACCATATTTATGGCATACTGCCCAATGGATTCTCTTACCAGTCCAATCATGTTGTTACTTATACTATATTATTATCATTATTATTTTCTTCTCTTCTTTTATACGTTTTCATTTTCAACTGGAGATGTTGCATTATCGGTGTTCCCCATCAATTCATAAACCTTTAACCTTAAAACACAAAGTAATCCAATGAACCAAAACAGGAAAACAATGATCACAAATACACATAAGATACTTCAATAGAACTGTAGAGAAATAAATAAAAAATTATTACCAGAAATAAATTTTTGAAGGAAAAGATATTACCAGAAATACGTTTTTGAAAAATATTATAACCAGCTATATACTTTTGAGGAAAGAAATATTGATAGAAATGGATTTCTAACAAAACAAAAATATTACTGGAAAGAAAAGAAAAAAGTTGTTGGCATTAAATGACCCATTGAGGTTGATATGCTGTAAAACAAAACAAACAAACATCAATTCATATGACCTCAGACAGAGAACACCATTCACAGAATATTGGTCTGAAGTGATGGGATACTAGGCTTTATTTCGGTTTTCTCAATGTAGGTCTTTAAGTTCATTGGCATAAACCCCAATGCCCCAATAGTAACTGGGAAGTAGTAGTCTGAATGTCCCACATTTTAGCAACTTCAATTCAGAGGTCAGTCTACTTAATTTTTTCAATTTCTTTTTCCTTGATATTATGGTCACCAGGAAGAGCCTCATCAATGTGGAGGCATTTTCTTTACTTCTCTCACCCCCAATGACAGTGATGCTTGGTTTGGTAGCCTCAAGGATGTTGAAATACCACAAGATCTTTACTTCATCATCATCATTATTATCATCTATATTTAAATTTTCATTTCAGTCATGATTGTATCTATTTGACAACAGCCTCTATCCATGATAGCATTCCAACATCAATGGCTTGGTGTCCAACACAAGAAGGTAAACAACTTCTGTTTCACATATAATGTCTGTCCAGAAAATATCCAACAACTTATAGATAATAGGCTCCCTCAGGGAATGGTGCCTTAGTTTCCCTCAAAGTCTTTCGCTTTGGGACCTCATACAATTATCCCAGTGTCTCTTTCACTTTTAAGTTGTTGACCTCATAAAAAAGAAACAAAATTTGTTCACAGAATATGATGAAGAAATAATATAAAAAAATTGACAGTATATTTGGGTTGAAAAATTGGTCACTAAAATTGCTTTTTCAAATATTATAATTAATTTTCTTTCTGGATATCTATATAATACTAAGTCTTTGATTGCATGCATGTTTGTGTGGTGCATCCATCTGGTGCATAATGATTTACGAGTTATTTATACATTAAGTTTTTTATTTTAACTTTCTTCAAACAGACAATTTTTTTAATTAAAATATTTTAAAGTTAAAGACAGACATAAAGAGATCCCGCTTTGCTGTTTTGTCCAGTTGTTTGTAGAGTAATTATTTATATTTCAGCTTTCTTTAAACAAATAATATTTTAAATATTTAAAAAATATTTTTTGGTTAATCTGATTTAAATTTCAAGTTTATCCCAGAAGTTCTATTCCTATTAAATGCTGTAAAGAATCAGTAAAATGTTAAACATGAACTTGTAAAGCAGACCAAAATGATGATGACACAGACAAATTGAAATATTTAACTGAATCATAATAAAATAAATTTTTTTTTTTTTTTTTTTTTTTTTGGTTTTCAGATATGATATTAGCTGTTGGTTATAGTGATGGCATGATCAAGGTTATTAGATTCAACTTGACTTGTGGTATTGTGTCTGATAGTGAAGATGTTTGGTCTGATCCTGACCTGATATCTGTGAATGCACTTTGTTGGCAGTGTCTGGATATCCACCAGGTAAGTTGTTGATTAAAGGTGAGGATTTTGGTGTGAGATTTGATGAGGGAAATATAACAGAAAGGAAGGAGGCAAAAACATTTTAAAATTAAAACCATCTTCCAGGTTCAGTAAATATGCATACCAATTTTGAGGACAACATCAAACAGTTTGGCATTTGTTTAGTGAAGAGACAAACTCTTCCCAATTATATAGCTGCCAGCCTTGAAGAACAAAATTGATTTCTCTGAAAACTTTCTGCAGTGGTAGGAGTGGATTGAATTCAATAAAGTGATGGAAGAGTGGACAGAGGAGGGTATCCAGGAAAGGAGGGAGTTCTACTGCTGGCCACCATTCTTGTGAACCTAAAGTGCACCTACCTTCAGTACTATGTTAAAACTAGCAGCATGCCCTGGCATTGCCCGTGCTTGATTAAAAAATCGTACAACTCGTACAGCAATCGCTATCACTTGACTTAAATTATTTTTGCCCTTCCTTGCCTTTAAAGGAGTGCCCTTTGCCGTGCTGATGTTGCTACATGCCTTACTTCTTGCCTATCTCACACTGCAAATTTTTTCTAAGCTCTATACTAAACATTAAATCTGTTACGAAAAAAGAACTAAACAAAATGAACACAAAATGATAAGCTTTAAAAAAGGACTCATAACTGGAAAAACCAAATGAAAAAATGTTAACAACAAATACTTTTTCACACCCAACCCAGTTCTGTGGAGTCAGAATCAACATTGGGTTTAAGCAAGTGAATGAGCCAATTGGAGTAAAGTGCATGCAGATTTAAATTTTTCCCACTTGTGACGAATGCAGCTATCGATTTTTTTTTTTTGCATGCTAGTTAACATTCGTGTCAGTCAGCTGTTGGCTCTCACGCTGGCCAATAGAATCTTCCTGCCTATTCGTAGCAGCCAGCTATAGGCTCTCTGGACAGTAGAAAATGGCCGCAAACTACATGAAAACTGCTGTAGAAGCATGAAAAAATTGATTATTTCCACTATCGATGGGAGTTGAGAAATGCAAAGTCAGTCTTGGCCTTCCCTCTAACTTTGTGCATGTAAATTTTGATGCAAATCCGTCAAAAATTGCGGCCGTGCATTTGTTACACACACACACACACACACATCCTGCCTTTTATAGATAGAGATAAAAAAAAGTTGTGATGCTATCAGCTGGTTAAGTACAAGGAATAAATGTATTGTTTAACTTAACTGGGGTTTTATTTGAATACAGCACCCAAGATTTTGATGGCACTACTAAAGACTATATTGAGAAAGAGTAACAAAACTACTGATTTGTACTCTGACTGTATACGAGATGATTGTGACTGAGGAGGAAGTGGTCAGTTGCTTAAAGAAATTATATTTTTTAGGATTTCAACATTTTTTTTTGCACTAGCAAATTATAGCCAATTTTCTTCTGTAAAAAATGTTTTCAGATAAATTTTTCTCATTTTCAAGAATACATAAAAGTTGAAAAAATAAATCTGACATTTCTTCTTACAGCAATTTCAACATAGAATCCCTTTCTTCTTTTATTAAGAACTTCCACTTGAAGCACATTACAACTTTTGTTTGGCACATCCAAATTGCCAATGTTACTAATCTTGGGACTCTTATTTAGTCAAATGTGTGAATCATTTCATGGGTTGAACACAACTGAAATCATAGATAGCACTGTATTTTATTCTTCTTTAAAATCTGTAATTTCCAACATGTGAACAGAAACAAAATTCTTTTCAAATATTTTTATAGAATTAAGAAGTAAAGTCATATTAACTGTTATAAAGTCATAAATTATAGTGGTCAGTCCTCAAGTTAGTAGTCACAAACTAAACATTGACAACCACTTTTGTTCTTTTCTAGGGGAGACAATTTATAGTCTGCACTCTTCACATTAAAATTAGACGACCACTACATTAACAATCAGTCATTTTTTACATGACCGTATCCAATGTTTTAATTTAAATTTAATTTCAGGATCAATGGCTGTTGTTTGCTTCAAAGGATCTCTTCATTATGGCCTTTGTGATAGACCGAGCAAAACTCACCTGTGTTCATATGGTTCATGTACGAGGCCAGTTCAACCTTTCTTGCACAGGTCTGCAGTCCTCTGTTTTATTTTTAAATTCATTTTTATTTAATAAATGTTAGCAGTAGCAAATGAAAAAAGATTTAATCTACATTTGTTTACCTTTTGAGAACAAAGTGTTGGTGATATCAAATAAAGACATGGAACTTAACGAGGCTAGTCTTATTGACCATTATAACTGAGTATTGACTTCAATCTTTACCAGGTACCCCATTTAAAAATTCAATGTTAAATAACTCAAGAAGTTATGACATGTTATAAAACCAAACCAAATATCAAATAATATTGCTAAATTGTGCCATAAACAATGTTTTAGTTGTTTTTTTTATCAACCTCAAATCAATAGATTTAGTATGATTTTTTTTTATAGAGATTTAGCCACATTATTCCTTTGTGTGTGTTGTAGAAAGCAAAAATCTGACTCTCATAGAATAATAATGCATTAATCTATAAAAAAAATAATATAGAATGATATTTACGCTATTTACGTTGTTCAGACTGTTGTCCTCATCTTTATTGTCATACTCACAATGTTTCAGCCATTATGCACTTTTGCCTTCTTCAGGTGATATACGTTGGAATTTCAAACGGAACCCTATATTTAGTTCACTAGGGTAGATTGTTCTCATTCCACATGCCATGCCTTTTCTGGATATCTCAGTTTCAGTTATTTCCCTTTAGTAACTCAATTCTCCAAGTTTTTTGTTCACCTCTGCCCCAGTGGGCTAAATAAAGGATTCAGTTTAAAATTCCAATGTATATCACCTGAAGAAGGCCGGAGTGTACAATGGCCAAAACGTCGTGAATATGACAATAAAGACGAGGACAACCATCCGAGCAATGTAAACAGTGTAAATAGTTACAATATCTCATCTCAGAAATAGAGACAGATATAGAATTATATATATATCAAGAATCGAACAGTAATAATTTTAATCATCATCAACATCTTCAGTCCCATGACGTGATCTGGTGATAGGGTTGCTGTGGGCTTATGGCCATATGATGTTGAAACACTGGCTCTTGTACAATCACCAAAGTTGAGAATACTAAGTGGTGAAAGCTTGAAAGTGTGGGTGGTGTAATAGATAATGGCTTCAAATTGAAAATCGGATAGCCGAGTTCCAGTTTCAGTAAGGTTTGTTATATTCACATGTATAAATGCATTTGGGAATCCACCTCTTCCCCTCCAGGTATGGGTTAATTAGTAGGACTGGTATCAGTAAATCATTATGACCTCAAAAAATTTTAGAAAAATTATTTAAAAGTATTTTCTGGCTTTAAATAACCTGCAAAAGCTTGATAAATCATAAAAATCAATCAATCAATCATTGAACAGTTCCCTCCTTATATTTGAAATCTGTAGTTATTCATTCCAGCATAATGTGTCTTGGGTAAGCAGACCTGGTGGAGCCCATCTCTCACAAGGACACATGGTCTAGTGGATAAAAGCATTGCCTATCATAGTTTAGAAGACAAGAGTCTATGCTGGTGGGTTTTTTATATGGATAGTTGGTAAATACTTTGGATTTTAGTTCTATATCAACATCAAGGAATGGGATTTTTTTTATTAACCATGAGTTTATATGTAAATTTTAGCATTGAGTTTTTTTTCAAAAGTTGATTTTAGATTTATAACTTTGTTATTATTTTTTATCAAAATGAAAATGTCATCAACGAACCTTGTGTAGATTTGTGGTTTATCAGTTGTTTTAAATACTTTGTTTTCAATGTGAGGCATGTAAAGATTAAAGAAAATGAGACCTAATGGGTTTCCCATGCTGACGCCATTAGTTTGGATGTAGGTGATGACAATATGATCATAGAATGGAGCTTTTGTGGGTACAGGTGAAGAGTAGTTTCTAAAGAGTTGTCAGTTGAATTTTGGGAGGAAGGATTGATAGGTGTTTGTAGATTCACTCACTAATTATTTTGATTGTTTTTTGCAACTGGAATATTGGTAAAAAGATTTTCAACATCAAGCAAAACTTGTATACTTCCTGTGGGATTTGTTGCTTTTGAGGTATGGAGGAATTGATATGATGCTTGGGTGTGTATGGAGAAATTACATCATTGAGGGATTTCGATAGCTGGTATACTGGTGTAGGTATATGGGAAATGATAGGTCAGAGAAGAAAACCTGGTTTATTTATCATACAGATATCCTGGTTGGTAATCCCCGACAATCTTATTGATTTTTAAGCTTCCAATCTCAGCAATGTTGGTTGTAATCAGTTTCTTTATATACCTTTTTAGTAATTCTGTGGGATTTTTCCTTAATTTTGGAAATTTTGTTGTATTACTTAGGATAGATTGTAATTTTTGGTTGTAATCTTGTCTGTTAAGAACTATATAATTGTTGATTTTATCAGTGCATCTGATGATGATATTGGCGTTGTTGTGTAACTCTTTTGCAGTGGATTTGAGTTTGTTTGTGAGGATATTATTGTGTTTGTTGTGTGAAGAATGGCTTTTCAAACCTTTCACTTTTATAAGTTCTCTTAGATTTGGGTTTGCACCTTAATTAATTTTTCCATTGTCAACTGTTGGATTGATTGGTAGAGTATTTTGATTTTCTTTTGGATATAGTTGTATCTAGGTTGGAAGTGGCTCTTTGGGCCAATATTTAAGAATTCTATTTGGCTGTCAGTTACTTTGTGATTGGACAAGTTTAGGAAGTTACATTTACCATTGGGTAGTACAATCTTTATATTGTATAAGTTGCAAAGTTTTTTATGTTGTGTTGTTAGTTGAGTTCTAACATTCTATTGAAATGGTTGAGATGGCATTCAATAGTTGTGTTCATTTTATTTTTTATTATATATATATATATATATATATATATATATATATATTGTAATGATACAATATGGTAATCTGTATGGAATAGGTCTTGAAGATTGAGAGCTGCTGCTTTTTAGAGCTCTCATGAAATAAAAATTATTATCTATGGGATTTTAAGTGTCTGATATTCTTTAATAATAATTATATATAATAGAACACCAAAATTCAGAAATTGTGCACTTGTCATCAGGCAAGCTGCCACCCTGGCCAGTACACCACTGTTGGCCATTTTATTCTCTAACTTTCTTCAGGTGTCTCTCATATTCAGTATAGTGAACAAAACCCTTTATCCTTTTTTTTTCTTTTTTATTGAAAATATTTATTATTTTAAAAATTACTCATTGATTTTATTATACTTTTTGTATTTGGGTTTGTTTTATCTTTTCTTTTTTGTTTTTTTTTCAAATTTGAAAATCTACTGAGAAAATTAGCCTTGAATCATATTGAATCATATTTGGAATTTAATCTAATCTTTCAAGCATATGATAACTCATTAGTACATAATTGTATAGATTTCTCTTGCTTGAATTTAATATTTTTAATCAGACTGAATAAAGGCTTCATATCAAAATACCAAGAACCAGAAGGTTACATTCTCTTAACATGGAAAGTAAAATGAGAACAATTTACTCCAGTGGACTGAACAAAAGGTTTAGCAATTTCCATAAGGTTACTGAATATGACAGTCAACTGGAGAAGGCCAAAAGGTGCAATGGCTGAAACATCTTAATGAATCTTAGCAACCAAAATGAGGATATATCAGTTCAAATCAGTGTATAATAATTCTTTCATTTGCTTGGAAGACAATTATCAAGTAGATTTAATTGTTCTTTTTACCTCATAAATTTAGACACTTTCACTGCTGCATTGTTATAGCATTGTTGCCTGGCTATGCTGACCCATTTTTGAGAAAAATAGAAAATTACCATTTACTGCAAACAAATGACTACAAAGACACTGGCAGTGATTTCTTATGGGTGCTGCCATTTTGGTTTCAATCAGACACTGCAATACAGACTAAGCAAACAAGACCTCCAACACATAATATGCTAAAAATGTCACAAAACAGTTCATTTCATTGGAGAGGTGTTTTTGTGGCTCTATGTTATCCAAGAAATCAAGAGGCATAAAAAAGAATATGTCTACAGTGGCTAAGAAATAGCACTAGGTATTAGCTTATAACAAACATTAGGGACCAACTTTTATCTTGATAATGTGTGTATATATATATATATATATATATATATATATATATATATATATATATATATATATATATATATATCAACATCAGGCAATATAAGTTTTGTAAGAACATATAAGTACATCCACAGCAGCAGAAGTGTTAATAAATATTCTTTTCCATAATCAGAAAATTATAATAATATTATTGTAAACAAATATTGAAAATTGTATTAAAAGTCATTTGTTCCATAAATTCAAGAAATTAAATTTTATTTATTTTATTTTTTCTCAAATACTCTTTCCTCTTTCAGGAATGTCATGTCAATCAGGTACACTTGCATTGTGTGCTTCAGATGAGAAAGTTCAATTAATCAAGGCCTCCATGAAAGATGATGGTGAGTATTTCAATTCATAATTATTCCTGTCCTTTTACAGTTCCCTCTACAAACTATATATCTATAAAACATGTTTGACAGCATAAAATTGTGTTCAAAATATCTGTAGTTGAAGGCATAAAATTGCATATAGAATATTTAGATTTTGGCATTAAATGACCCATAGAGGTGTTGATATACCACTAAATAATAACAACTAACCAATCAAAACTTTGGAGAAGGTAACAGGAAATTACTCAAATATCTTTCCCAAGAAGTTGTGGTAATTCGCAGTTAATGAAGAAAAAATCTCTAGGGAGAGCAGTGATTGGCTTTGTTCTGAAGGGACATGACATTAAAAAAATAAAAATGAATGTTTGTTTGTCTACTATTAACTTGGAAATTATTTAATGGATTTCAATCAAATTTTGCATGCAGATAACCTATGGCATTCCCTAAATTATAGCTTATGTAAAGTTGACTTAAGTCAGCCCTGAAGGTAACAGAAGCCATTTCTCATGAAAGCTAAATATTTATTCCTACATAAAAATATAGTAGTTGGGGAAGTAAATTAGCTTTTGATAGTAAACTAATGTCATTAGTCATTTTAATAATTTATACAAACACAATCTATACATTTTAAATGAAATGTCTCTTTATCTTTTTATTTGCACAAAATTAATTTCTGAGTAATGGTAGGTACTTAATAATAAAAACAAATCTTTTTATTAATTTTATGCTTTGTGAATCAGTAAAGCTACTGATTTTTATGACTATTTTCAAATAATCAAAAGTAAAATATTTTACTATCAATTTCTTTAGAGTTGTTTTTCTCTCATAATATATTTTGTTTGTTTTCATTATTTATAATTGTTTCTAAGAAATGCAATTCATTTGTGATTCTATTTTGCAGGTTTGAAAATGGACAGTAACTTATTTCCTGTGACAATTGATTCACCTGTCTTCTCACTTCAATATATTGGAGTAGCTTTGTCTCCAAATGCTGCACTTCTTGCAGTTGTAGCTTGGTGAGTGTTATTATCTATGTCATAATATTATTATTGTTATTATCTAATATCATACTACAACATTATCATCATAATGCTGTCTTTAATGTTTTAAAATTTATCAACATCTATCATCTTTCAACAACAATGCGTATTATAACAAAATGTCCCTTTGTAAATATTTTTGGCACTTAAAAAAAGTTAACAAAAAATTCCTATGGTAAAATGGAAAATGTTAAAAATACCTAGAACCTGGAAATCCTTATATGATCCATGTAATCTATGTTTACAAGAAAAATTGCATATCATAAAGTTTTCTAGCAATAAAAACCAAAGAAATGAATTAACAGTGCTATGCTGCCATTGTCTAACTTTTACCTCAAAATATAGTTAAAAAATTTTTTTTGTAAATAATTATGTATTATAATTGTATAGCCATTATTTTATTAGTATATAATGGCCCACCCAACTTTCATTTGATTTATTCAGCTAAAATATTGCCATGTTTTACCGTCTATTCAGTATAATTAACAACCTATATAGTTCTTTCCACATTTTTAATTTTACTTATTGGCCCCTTTAAGAAGCTTCCTGAGTACATAAAAAAAAAATTGTTCCCTAGTATCATTAAATGGCATGTCTAAGCAAATTCTTAACATGTAAAAATAACCCACCTACCTAACCTACCGACCTTATTTTTATATTTTAGCTTAGACCTGACATTCATTGGTTAATCTAGACATACCATAAGTATATTTTTAATTCTGACCTTATGCCCCCACTTTAACTTATGAAAAGAGGTAAAGATTTATTTTTTACATTTCCCTAATAAATCATTTTGTCACTAGTTATCTAGCATCACCTAAAGAAGTACCATCTTAGTACTGAAACATAAAAGTGTTTGTCTAGTGATGTAAAATGTTTTTATTGTAATTTATTATAATAATAATATATATAAGGAAAATTATATAAAGATTATAATTTATTATATAAATAATAAAAAATAATATTAATTTTAAATATTAATATAAAATATATTAATATAAATTAATTAATATAGTAATAGACTCAACATTGTGAAATGATGGAGCCAAATATAAAAGAAATTGTAGAGCAGCATCAACCCCAGGGATCTCCTTGAATAAATCTGCATTTTTTTTTTAATTACTCACATACTTTAAAATGGTTTATTATGAGTTATTTTACCTGTGTACATAAATGTTTCATAGAATTTAGTTGTTAAATACAAGTTTATTTTCATTAAATTAGTTTTACTTCAAAATAAAGCCTATACATTTATTATTTCTATAAGACAACTCCTAAACTTATCTATTAGTAAAAAATGAAATCATTTTTTTTTTTTTTTTTTCATTGAATGGTTATGGTGGTCCACTAAAAAAAAAAAAAAAAATTTAGTGTAAAAGTAGTCCATGGGTAAAAAAAAAAAAAAGTGGGGTTGAGAACCACTGACGTAACTGTTTATTTGTGGGGGGGGATCATTAAGGTGCTGTATGAATCTGTTTTACTTTGCATGTTCAAAGTGCGCTCCATCCCTTGTGATCTTAACAACATGTGATTAACAACATGATTTCCGAGAATCTGGGCATTGCTTTTAACTCACCCTGTATATTTTATCTTCATTAGCTGATTTCCTTTCATCTGATCAACAAAGCTAAAAGATTAAAGAGGACTGAAAGCATACTGAACAAAGGCCTGTTTACTAAATTCTTTTATCATCTCGACATTTCTATACAAAATCATTTTTCTCTTTTTAGTTAATTTTCCAAACTTTTGATTAAATTTTCATTTTGTCTCCAACCAACAGTGTAGGACAGTGATTAGCAAGTGAATCACATGGAATATTACTAAATTAATAGGTAGTTTAATCCTCACTAAGTGCCCTACATATGTAGCCTTGTGCTAAACAAACTTTAGTAGATGCATAGAATTACCATGTCATTCAAAGGATGTACATTGAAGTGAACATTTATTTTTTTTTATTTATTTAATTTGAAACGAGACTTTTCAATCTGGGATTGAGAACTAAAATATGCAAATTGGTAAATTTTCTGATAATATTCCCCAGTAAACTTAAAATTTAAATAATGAATAAATTTGTATCTTCTAACATTTTCTCATAACACACACACACACACACACTCATTTATTAGATAGTAATTCTCTTGACCTGTGAGTTCAATCCCTAGTTCAGGTAGTGTAGAAAAGTCATCTACTGCAGTTCAGAAGATGAAATAGACAAGCAGCATAAAGATGGCCAGAAGTAATATCTCCTGGAAAGTGAAATGAAAAGAATTTATCTTGTGGTTTGGTTTGGTTTGGTTTTTGTTTTACAGCATATCAACCTCGATGGGTTATTTAATGCCGACAAAATTTTTATTGCTGGTAATAGGTTTTCCTTCAAAAATCTATTTCTGGGAATATTCCTCCTTGGAGAAATCTATAGCTGGTCATATTTTTTTTTTCAAAGAATGTATAACTGTTTGTATTGCTGGCATTTTTTTAAATTTTTTTTTTTTAAAGTATTGCTGATAATAATTTTTCCTTCAAAAATTATTGCTGGTAAGAAATTTTTATTACAAAGTATTTCTGGTATTAAAACCTATTTTATACAAGTTTGGGTGTTAACTATTTGCCCTTAGCTGGAACCCTAACAGGTGCTACCACCCTGGGTCAGGGTGGCCCTGGGAACACCAGCAATTAAGAGATGGTTCCACGCTCCTCAAAACCTCCTGATCAGAGGCCTTGCTGTTGGATGTAGTTTCTCGTCTTACCCAGGATGCAGATGTAGTTTATTGTCATGCCCAGGACGCTTTAATCTTGTGGATTGAATAAAAGGTTATTTACATTATTATTTTCACAAAGACGCGTCATTATCCTTATTACCAGATTTTGGCTGTTGTGACCCCTAGCTTTCAGCAAATGCTTGTCAATTTGGGTAACCTACAGAGAATTTCAAACTGAACCCTTTATTTAATCTACAAAGGTAGATTGTTCTTTTTTCATTGCCCATGTCTCAAGGCATTTTGTCTAGTTCTTATTTAGTACTACTAAGTAATGGTTTGCTCTGTTTCCACTGATTTCAAGTATACACTTTACCATTCCAGGGATTGAACTGACAATTACTATGTCACTAAATTGATGAATCAAGGCTTTAATCAACTATAGGCTATCAAAGAAATGATGCAGTTCAAAATCCCAAGAAGATTAGTGAGTACAACAAATACATAAAGAGGGCAAAAGACTACAGTGATCAAAGCATGAGTATAATGCTCAAGATGATGGAAGCATGAGTATAATGGTCAAGATGCAATTGTAATTATATTCTTTAACCTCTACACATCAAGTAGTCAAATAAATCCATGTCTTTGAGAATAATTAATATCTTTTTTTTATTCACTACATATCAAGTCCAGGATCCTCAGGAATGATATCTCCTCATTCCTTACACAACAAGTAATAGAATAAGTTCAAAGGTGCATCTCTCATGAGTGACAGATGAGAGTTGATTTACTTGCGATCTGTTGCAGTCAAAGATTATCAGGAAACTGAAATTACAATTCAAAAACCCCACTTGGTAGCCCATGTCACATGGACTTGGGTGACTGTCTTTTACTTACTCCCTTAGCAGGTCAATCATGTCTAATTGTCAAGTGACAGATTCCTTCCTGCCATTTTTCAGTCAAGACAAAACTCAGTCTAGATCAGAAATAAAAAAAAGAAGACAAAAGGAAACACAAATAAAACATGTCCTTTAATAAATTGATCATACCTGTGATTCAACATTCAACTGGCGATGTCACATTTGGAATTCAGATTTTTAGACTGGTTGCCAATCAAGGCTAGAGAGCCTAGTCTGCTATGCTACTTAACCCATAACTGAGAGGCGGTGGATTCTTAAGAATATTAGTGTGAAAGTGAATGCAACAGACTAACCCAGAATTTGTGGTTGACTTGCCGATTCCATTTTCTGTGCTGACATCCATTGCACTAACTGCACATTTCTATTGGATACTGCACCATAAAGCACTTGTAAGTTGTAATGTCTTTAGCAGCAATCTTTTAATACACCGTGATTCTTAACCTTTTCTTCTATAATAGCTCTTTTCAGATATTTGCATGGGCTGGTGCCTCCATGTTAAAATTGCACTGGTAAATGGAGCAGAGTAAAAGCAACAGAGTTAATGTTATGTGTTTGTTTTGTCTGATTATAGCAGTGCTAATCATTAGAAGTAAGGTTTTTTAAGGAACAGACAAGCTGTGATTAACTGGTCAGATAATTGAAACTGCTAGACTTTAGATTGCATGTTTCTGCTCAATATACATATATTGCAATTGCAACTACACATTTAAAACACCTCTCTCTCTATCTATATATATATATATATATATATAACTAAAAAGATGAACATATATAAAATGTATCATTCCAATCTGGCTTCAAAGGGTTAAATCATATTTCTGCCGTGTTAAAATTATAGTGTCCCTCCACAATTCTCTCTGAATACTTACTACCCCCTTGAATGTTCATAGTCCCTCCTCCCAGGTGGGTGGATATTATCACTGCTTCCATACAGTTTTGTCATCTGATTCTTAGAGAATGATTTCAGAGCTGATTGTTTTTTTTTTTTTTTCATTTAATTTCTTTCCAGTCCTGCCTGTCCATTTGACCAGAAACAATTAAAGGAACCCCTGATGGTAAGTATTTTGGCAGTTTGTTTTCTCTTAAAGTTTTCAATACTTTCTAATAGTCAGAAAAAAAAATTATATATATATATATATATATAGATTGATCAAAAAGTATCTGTACTGGCGCCATAAAATTAAAACTACAACATATATCAATTAGACACTTAATCTCCTTTGAAGTAGTCGCATTCTGAAGCAACATGTGTTATCCAGCATTGTTTCCATTGATGGAATCATTCTTAGAATTCTTTTTTTGAGATAGAAAGCAGCTGCCTCGTTGCATTTTCTTGGATTGCCTCAACTTCTTGAAATTTTGTTCTTTTAAAGTGGAATTTGATTTTCAGAAAGAGGAAAAAATTGCAAGGAGTAAGATCTTTGGAATATGGTGATTGTCTGACCTGGTAATATGTTTTTGGCTAAAACCTGCTGCACAAGCCATGGTCACTGTTAAAACCTCTGTGGTTTAGTGAGACAACCACACTCTACACACTTTCCTTCTAAGCCCTGCTATAAACAACTGAAGTAAACGAGAACTTTATAAATTTGTTCAAAGTCAATCTGTGCCAAGCAGCTTCACTCTGCATACTTTAGTTTCATTACCATAGCAACAGTCCCAATACATTCTGATCAGACTTTTCATATATATATATATAAAAACATACAGATATATCACACTATACAGTGCTCAATGTAATAAAACAGAGCTATTAAGTATAGACTGGACATTACGTAATGGTCATTCTATACTCAGCACATCAAGATTATACTGTGCATAAAATTCTAGGTCATGCTACCAGTGAGAGATTAAAATATATATATATATATATATATATATATATATATAAAAGGAAAAAATGGATAAATTGTCATCTAAATTACACGGAAATTAAAATAACACTGACATCTCATTTTTAACAAATATATTTACCAAACTTACACAAAAATATCTTGAAATACTAAAGAGAAAATTTATTCAATAAAATTGCCATTAGCTTCAACCGCTGCCTCCAGTTGACTTTGGAATGCTGCCATAATCCTTGTCTTCAGTTTATCTTTGGTGTTACTAGGAGTTTTGTTGTTCTCTCACTCAACTGTGCCCCACACGTAATAATCAAGGGGGTTGCAGTCTGGGGAGTTTAGGTCACCAGATGTAAGGGGTGGTCTGGTTGCAGAAATTGTCTGACAGCCATGACTGGGTTCTCTTGCTTCTATGGCATGGTGCAGAGTCCTGTTGCCAGAGATGGCGTCTTCCAGCAGCCACCCTCTTGACCTGGGGCAGCACTACCTCCTTAAGGCAATTAATATAGGGTCCCTGTGTTGAGACTAAGAACCTAGGGGAAGATGAATGGAGGCATAACATTGCCATCACTAATGATCACTCCAAATACATTTGTAGACTCTTTCCAAATCCTCTGCACTGTCCTCAGATTGGTACCTGAAATGTTCATATTGGAGCTTGTGACATGAATGCCAAGCAGTACAGCATAACGTTTCCAAATTTCTGGTGGAGTGAATTGTGTAATGGTGCTCTTTTTCTCACAGTGTCCAGCTGACCCTGCCATATTTTGCAGTCAACAAAATCAAAAACAAACAATACGCATGGATGAAATTAAAAAAATATAAAATGGTGACAATTTAAATATCGCTTGCTATATATATATATATAAATTCATGAATCATTCATACAAAAAACAAATATAGAGGCTAATGATTTAAATGGCAAGAATACATCTTCGCAAACAATATAAATAAGATACATCAACCCCGAACATGTATATGAATGATATGATCCCTGTTCATAAATTCCAGTTGCATAAGGTCTTTTAATTTTTACAAGCTTTCGTCTGTTCCTACAGACATCTTCAGGTATGGAAATAGATTTTGTTCTTGTTTTTACTTCTCGGTAATAAGAGGACAACGAAAATAGAGATGTAATCCGAATAAATGCTATGAGAAATGTGTTATTATTTTTGGAATGTGCGTCATAACGCTGAGTTTGAATTTAAATTTTAAGGTTGTGCGTTTTTGTACAAAAGAGAATTCTTTTTTACTGGTAGATTTTCTGTCTATGTGGCATGAACTATATTGTTCAATAAATACAGTAATGTCACACTTATTATCCGAAAGTTGCACGTTGGATCAGTTATTTTAATTTCAATTAAAGGTGCAAATTATAATTTATAAATTCATGAATCATTCATACAAAAAACAAATAACACATTTCTCATAGCATTTTTTCGGATTACATCTCTATTTTCATTACGTTGTTTGGTTTGATCCAGAAAGCAGAAGTGATGTCCGTCCATTCACAAGGAGGACAGTAGATAGGGATTGACATTGCATTAAAATTTTTGCAGATTAAAGTTGGCTTGAAAGCATGGAGCCAGAAGGGAGTTCCACAAGCAAGAGGTGTGAGAAAAGAAACTGTTAATGTAGAAGTTATGCCTACATCTAGCTAGATCAACTGTAAATTGATATGATCTCACTGCCAGTCTACTATTGCACTCAAATTCATACAGACTAGGTACCATAGCAAAGAGCTCATCCGAACAGTTACCATGAAAGTATTTTAAAAAAAAGGTGCAGATAACATTTAAAGTGATACACCCCCACACACACACACACAGAGCTGTATCAAAAATACTTTTACAAACTTTGGAGGCAGGTTCCTCCGACCAAAACAAGGACAAAAGTCTATATAAACACATGTTTACCAAATCCTTCGGTTTTGAGTTATTAAATTTAAAGAAAGTTTACAATAAATGATGCTGTGTTGCCATGTAGACTGTTATATTTGTCATTTGTGTACATTTGTGGCTAGTATGTCTTCAATGTTTAACATGTGTAGCAGTGAGTTAAGTGAGAAGTTTTCTGATTAAAAATGGCAGGATATTCATATCATGAGCAGGCAGATGTAATTTTTACATACGGCCATATGAATGGTAATGGATGTGAGGCTGCACAGCTGTATCAGACTGCATTTGCAGATCAAAGACAACTAACATTTGCTGCTGTTTAGTGTTGCATTGCTGAGACAGAATCTGTGGCACCACAAACTATGGATTGAGGAAGACCAAGATCCACTCATATGCCTGACCACAAAGAACACATTCTCCCGGCTGTCAAAGACAATCCAGGTATCAGTATACTTTCAAGTGGCCCTAGAATGTTGTACATCGAATAGTACCACATGGGAGGTGCTTCAAGAGCAGCTCCTGTATCCGTATCATTTGCAACATGTGCAGGATATTTCACCATATGATCACTCACCATGGGGGGAACTTTTGCTGATGGTTTATTGCACAAACTGCCAATGTGTTGTTTGCTCTTCAGTCTTGTTTACGGATTAGGCAACATTTGGAATAAATGGAATAACAAATTTACACAACCAACATTTGTGGGCGGATCAGATTTCCCATGGTACAATAAAGGCAGCAATTAATGTGTGAGCTGGAATTGTAGGTGACTCTCTGGTAGGTCCTTATGTTCTTACAGGAACTGTCTACAGGGACTTTATTTTGAACACACTTCCAGACCTGCTAGAAGATGTACCCCTACAAATATGAAAACATGTGGTTCATGCATGACGAGGCTCCAGCACATTTTAGTCATATTGTTCATGATGCGCTGACTGATTTTATTCCATAAAAGATGGATAGGTAGGCGAAGACCTGGTTCCATGGCCTGCACGTCCCTCTGACCACAATCCTTTCAATTTTTATCTGTGGGGCCACCTAAAATATTTGGTTTATGCAGCAGACAAATAATGCAGAGATGCTTCAACGTGTCATGAGCAGCTGTAAAACCATTTGACACTGTGTGGGAGTATCTAAAAGGGTCCCCCAGTCAATGATCTGATAGGTGCACGCACGTGAAGAAGCAAGCAGAGGACATTTTGAACATTTGTTATGTGTTGCTGAGTTGAGGTACAATGATGGCCTTTTGGACATATGTTCATATGGACTTCTGTCTTTGTTTTGGTGTTAGGAACCCACACCCAAAGTTTATAAAAGTATTTTTGATGCATTCTGTATATATATATATATATATATAATAAACTCTCCCATCGGTTTCGATGTATGAGGATCTGACAGCTTAGTTGATTCAGTTATGAAATTTTGAGTGATAATCTTAAGTGGCATTTAAGACCTGCTAGTGATTTACAAAGGAGGCCACATATGGAGCAAGTGTGAGGATTGTGAGATGAAATCGCTCTTAGATTGGCTGACCTTTTAGATCTTGCTCTCACTTCTTGAATATGATTCAGACAAGCAGATTGAAAACTGCTGGGTCCACTAAAACACATTGATCTCCATTCTACCCGGTCCAAGGCTAAGCACTCAAGAGTGTTATGTGGTATATTGACTGCTGACAAGTTGTTTTTCAGCTTGTTTTTGTATCTTAGCCATGGGCGTCCTATATATATATATATAAATAAATAAAAACAAGGAAAATAATTTAACCCAAATAAATAAACAAATAAAGAATTTCTGGTAAAATAACTGCCAAAATAGGCTACCCACAATGCACCACTGACCCGTATATATAAATAGTCGAAAAAAATATCAGCACTCATGGCCTGACGATTACGTCTAGCATGAAACAGACTGTCGCCTCTAAGTGTTGACTTCTATGTTCACTTTTTTATTTACACACACTCTATCTCTGATATTGAGCACTTTATTCAATAAATATAGCACACCTTAAGACTATATTTCTTTATATATATAGATATCTGTTGCTTAACCATAAATCTATATCATAATGGTAAAAATGAGCTGTTTGTATACATGATGCATTTAGCATTCATTAACTGAACAGTCAATTGAAATTTACTTATTTTATGGCCTTAGGCAAAAGAAGAGGCAGACATAGGAAAGAAATTGGCTGACATTACTGTATGCACTGGGACATCATTCAAAGAAACTCAGACAGTGGCATGCAACTGAGATATATGGAGAGAACTAGTGAGGTCCTCAGGTGCACAGTGACCCTATGACCACACCTGATCATGGGACTGATGATGATTACTTCACGTACATGGCCACAAGTGTAGAGCATACAATAAGGATTAAACTCACAATCAACTAAAAACTCTAGATTGTTAAACGTCCTTATATAACTGGGAACACCAATTCATTTAAATATGTGTATTCTGTCTAGATATCTCCAAATCTTGTCAAATCCTTCTCCCCTAAATTCTTTTGAATACATGTGTTTACTGTACTTTTCATTTTGTTTTTATTAGTTGTGCATCACCCGTGTTAGCATGTGGCCTGAATACCCAGATATTTTACAGCTCAGTGAACACCGTAAGTGATACTTTTTTCTTTCATTCATAATTTTTTAAATTCTTGGCAATGTTTTTTGTTTTTTTTTTTTACTATACGTTTTTCCTCGCTTTTAATAGATATGTATTATTTTTATCTTCTAAAAATTAAATAAAACAAAACCCAGAATTTTCCGCTAATTGAAAGTTTGAAATGCCGTGATGAAAAGCAAGTGAAATGAAAAGAAATTTAGTCATGATTGAAAATACATTATTTCATAAAAATGTAAAAATCATAACTTTTTGGAATCAAGAATGATGCAAGAAATCTCTATGCCTTTCACTCAGGTTGAACTGATATTTGTTCAACTAGATTGACTTTGTTAGAAGCTTGAATGTTTAAAGCACATCATCATCTGCAGTAGACATTATAAATTTATATTTAACTGTTTCCAAAACAAAACTACTCGCTTTTAATTATTTGAGAGAACCCTTTTTACCTTCCATCGATATGGCTGATGCTAACCTCCCAGAGAGTGACTCATTGTGCCTTCTAACATTTTCAACTGACATGAAATGGAAAGAGTATATTGAATAAATTGCTAAGTCTGCTGCTAAGAAAGCTGGTTCATTATTTTGTACTAGACAATTTTTCTCACCAGAATCTATCTTATATAAGTCCTCCATTCATCCTTGCTTTGAATACTGCTGCCACACATGGTCTCCTCGTACTCCCGCTTATATATTTAGAGATTCTTGATAAAATACAAAGAAGAATTGGCAATATTATTGATCCTGACCTGGTATCTCAGCTTTAGTTCCTTTCCCATCACTGTAACATAGCTTCCTTCTGCCTTTTCTATAAATACTTTTATGGTAATTGTTCTGATGAACTTTCCTCTATGGTACCTAGACTTTATGAATTTAAGTGCAGTACTAGATTGGCCATAAGGTCTCATTTTTTACAGTTAAAATGGCTAAAAATAACCATAACTTCTATGCTAACAGTTACTTCTATTGCACCTCTCATTTGTGGAACTCTCTTCCAGGTTCTTGCCTTCCTGTCAACTTTAAATGCCATATCAACTGTTATTTTTTGTCTTAATTCTTGTTCTTTTATTATCCTCTCTCCTTAATAGTAGTTTTTCTCATATTCTCTAACACTCAGTAGCCCCTTGCATCCTAGTGGCTTTATGCCTTGCTTGGGATGAAATGATTAGAAAAAACAAAAAAAAGATAAACTTATATTTGTTCAACTGGATTGATTTTGTTAGAAGCTTGAATGCATAAAACACTTTTTGATGTTGTAAATCACGCCTCACATCATGATCTGCAGTAGGCATTATAAATTATGTTTACTGCATAGAAGAAATGTTGGTTTATTTCTACAGTAGGCACTGTGACCAGAATTAATAATTTTTTTCCAGATTTTTTTTTCTTTTCATATCACTATAGATTAAACACCAAAAAACAATATTTTTTTATTAAATTTTATAAAAATTAATAGTGTGATCTATTTTGCTATATAAATTCCTTGTCAATTGATTACACTACAGAAGCCAAAACTAATGTTTTTATACAATGCAATTTCTGAAAATGTAAAACAAATAATTTTTTCTTCAAAATTTATAATCTGGAATACTTAATCGACAGTAATATATAAAAAATGAATTAAATTTTTTTTCACACTTTAAGAAGTTGTGACGTTGCGAACTGTGGAGGTTGATCAAACAAAAAGAGAAAGAAGGAAGAGGAAAGGGTCTACTAACTGGATGGTAATTGTTGAAATTCACAGGAAGATGGATTGAAAAGTTAAGAAAATTAAAAACAAAATATTTTGAAATAATTTCAAGGAGAATCAAACACAAGTTTAACTTGACAGAATTCAGTAAAATTGAGCAAAACCTAGACTACCCAAACATTTTATATCCAAACATTAATTCCCTTGGATACAAGTGATAAAGAAAAAATAGTTACTGTTTTGAAGTGACCATGGACAAAAAGGGCTGTGTGGTCTGTTAATCATAAAAATGCATAGACAGAGAAAAGAAAAACTTTTATTTTTAAGGGGAGTGGAAATAATTTTATCCCCCCACCCATTCTTAAATGGTTTGGTCGATTGAGAAATCACAACATGGGACAAACTGATAAAGAAAGATTAATGACTGAAAATTCTTTTTGTTTTTGTTACGCCACATAGGAGTTGGATTCATAACACCAGCCTGAGAAGCGGGTTGAGGTTAGCTGCTGAGAAAGTGGGAGAAGGAAGAGATTAGCACCGCTTATATGGAGTGATAGTGTGAGGTGAGACGTGAAAGGAGTTGGAGTTGAGGTGGCTTGATTCCTCTGACCACTCACAAAAGTGGGCTGGACAATCCCAAATTTGGAAGACCACTTGAGTAAATGTATTTTTATATATGGAAATTTAGAAAAGGTTGATGCTTAGGGTAGAAAACAACAGAACTCCATATAAGCTGGAGATTTTGAACAGCTGAGGAGGAGAGAGAGATACACACGTGACGAGTCCCCACACTACTGCTACTAGCATCCACATTGTTTGCCAAGATCTCCTGAGCAAGACCAGAACTTTAAGTTACTGCTAACACAAGTTGCAGACTTTATGGGAGATCCCAGTGTCATTTAATTATCACAGTAAGTGGAAGGGTTAAAACCGCTGTATGCAACAAATTATATATAAACCAAATTGTTGTTACATTTTTAACCAGAGTTAATTCTTTATTCCAAAGGATTCCTGTTTTTGTGCAGCTGCAGGTGTCGAACTGCCTTCACTTCGGTTTGCTTCATCAGCGATTGTCTAATCCTCTGAGATCAAAAAACACAACATGGTAGAGGAGTGAATGATCATGAACAAACACCAGCTAAATTGAGTTGAACCATGCATACCATCATGACACCAGCAACAATGAGTCATGCACTGATGAGTGAAAAGTCAGCTAAATAGCAATCGCAGTGGTCTAAAGGAATTTGAAGACCAATGCAGGGCATAGGGCTACGTTATTGGTGGCCATTGACAGGATCGACATGTGGAGTGACATTATTGGTTACTGATGACTAGGTCCAACGAGTGGCATTACAAAGTCACATTATGTAAGCCTATTTGTTTTTTGCTTCCATAGGGGGGATCAATTTACAATGAATTTACACAGCAAACTGGATCCCACCTATATTTTCCTTTAAAAAATTTAACTTTTTTTTTTTTTTTTTTTTTTTTTGATATTCAGGATCCAGACTGCTTAGTAATATAAAACAGCATTTTGAAAACAATTTATTATTTTTGGTCACAGTGTCTATTGTATAACTCTACCAAAAGTTTTGATTTTGTATATAAAATAAATAAAAAGTTCAAAAACTTACACACACACACACTATGAACTCATCTCAAAATTTTTACTACATTACTTAAAAATCGAAAACAGAGAAGAATAAATAAAATATATAAGAAAAAAACAAGTAAAGTAAATTAATCCAAATAAATAAATAAATAATAAACAAATTAACAAAATGCTCCCGCCAAAATAACTGTTAAAATAGACTACCCACAATGCAACACTGACCTGTATATATAATTAGTTGAGAAAAAACTCAATACATGTGGTTTGATGATTGTGTTTAGCAAAAAACAGTCTGTTGTCTCTGAGTGTTGACTTTAATGTTCACTTTTATATTTACATACACTCTGCCTCTTATATTGTGCACTTTATCCCATAAATATAACATAACTTAAAACTTTTTTCTTTATATATATATATATATATATATATAATAAAACAAACATATAAAGTTAAATCAAAAATTAACATCACTTTCACCATAACATGTCTTTAGACAAGAATGTTGATAATTTTTGGTTTTTCCCTCATATAAGCAAACGTTGCCTTCTTGTCAGAACTTGGTATGTCACCATGAGAAAAACTTGGTTTATTTATAAAAACAAGCCTCCATAATTAAACATTAGCTGCATCTGCAATTGTCTGGCATTCTCACAATGATAGAGAACCAATAAAATCCAAAGATATTGTGAAATCTTGACTCAAGTTAGTTGTAAATTATATTTTAGCTCTGGAACTATGATAATAGATTTTTTCAACAATCTTTAAACAACCACTCAACTGTAACACTACACACACACACATTTGTGGCATGTTAGTGCTTTATATGACTTTTGTGGCCAGCTTGAGACCCACACAGCCTTCCACACACAGGGCAAGAAACAACACCCCTTTTAAAGGCTTCATGTATATTAGATTGGTGTTTTGTACAGACTCTGGTGTTTTGTAATATTGAAGTGTTCAATGTGTGATCACTCAAAAGTTGTTATGCCTTTTATGCATATATTCCTCCATTTGACACAATCAAGAGCCACTTCCTCAAAGGGTAAGAAAGGGATGCCAATAGAATTTAAATTCTGATTGTGTTTATCCCTCTACCTCAGCAGGAGTCATATCACCTTCCAGGAACCATCATTTAGATGACAAGTCCATCAAAGTTGTGATTGTATTTTTATCCCTTATTATGGCAAGATTGATTAATCCCAGGATGGACCAATAATTCTACAGCCTGATGCATAGTTATTAGGTGGATTTTCATATGAAATTTAAAATTTGATGTGATAACATTCAGCAGTAAATTAAGTGCATTGGCAAGAGAGATTATATTGAAAAATGAATATTACTGTGTATATGTATCATTCTTTTTGCATCATTAGGCTATGGACTTATTATTCTTGACCTGTAAGTTTGAGTCTTACTAGGAATTTACTTTTCATTTCCAGTGTGCCGTTTACTGCTGGCTATAGACTAATGGTCTAACTAGTTTTGATGAAAAGCAACTATAATTACAATGAAAGAAATAATAGTCCCAAACCATTTTCTGTTTTCTTAATATTTCAGGTGTAATTCGAGACATTCATGATGTCCTTTTGCTCTACCTTTGGGGTTTGATGAATGACAAACCACTTATTGCTCCTTCAGTGTTACATTTACTGACAGACATGGATTCCTGGCCTGGATTGTCACTTACTCAACTTCGTATGATCCGGTAAGCAATAAAACTGAATTCAAGTCAAACCTACCGGAAGACTTTAGAAGGATTGATTACTAATTCTTCTGCAAAATTTCAGTAACTTGAGTACTAGTCATAATCTTAGGTTGCTTATAAAAAAACAAAATCATGTAGTTAAAAATTGCTTTTAAAATAGATTATTTTATAATTTCATTTTTGTTTTGCAGATGTTTGCTTTCTTTGGATAAAAATACCCGAAAACTTGTTGTAATGGGTGAACATTCTTTTGATATGATGGTAAGTAAAAATGGCAAAATCTTTGATATTTTGGAAATCAGTCATTGAATTAAACATATTGTTTACATGTTGATAAGAGCAGCAGCATTAACGTCATTAGAAACTTCTTTTTTTTTTTTTCTTTTCTTTTTTTTAAGTATATAGAGAATGATTTAACTTTCATCAGATATTTTACTTAAAACATCAGGTTGAGTGAAAATTACAGAATGAATTACATATTCTCTCTTCTTTTTATAAAATGATTAGCACTGATACGTGTCATTGTCCCTTTCCTTTGCACTCAGCAGTCATTTCTTTGAAAGATTTGTATCTGCCATAAAATGATATTACCAAAATTAAAGCAGGTTTTAGCATTTCAGCAATCATTTATTTTTATACACAATATGTTATAATATTATTATTTCAATTTGCTACATTTTCAAAAGTATACTACTGTTTGAGAATCCATTATCCCAAATTCTTGGGACCGGAAGTGCTTTGATTTTCAGATTATTTTGGATTTTTGGAATACAGGCTAATTTGTATATAGTATCTATAAAATGGTGCAGCTTGGGAATGGAACACAACATCTCTTTACATTTCATAACACAGTTTATACATATACCCTGAAGGTAGTTTTGTATAAATAGCATATACCTTAATGGTAGTTTTATATAAAATTCAATAAATTTTGTGTACATACAGATACAGGTAATGACACTAGTTATGTAATATTCACATGGATTGTTATTGGTGGAACACAAGTAGATGGAAAGTGGTGATGGGTTCTCCAGCTTGTGCAGTGACATGCAAATTGTATCATCACAAAACAAGAATTAAGAAGACTGAAGATAACATTTGACATCATATTTAAATTTTTGAATATTAAACTTGACTGGGAAGAAGAAGCCAGTGGAGAGTTCCACAAGCAAGAAGTGCAAGAGAAGAAACTGTTAGCATAGAACTTACAGTTATACATCTAATCCTGCATTCAGCAACAAGGCTTTGGATTGGGATATTTTGAAGAGCATGAAACAACTGTTTAATTGCTTTTAATTCCCAGGTTCATCTTGACCCAGGGTGGTAGTACCTGTTAGGATTCCAGCTATGGGCAAATAGTGACCCCCCACCCCCTGGAACAAAACACTATGAAAGTATTTTTATAGTGGAAATGCCAGCATTTTTAAGTAGTAAAATTATCAACAATACCTATTTATAGTGAAATGACCAACAATACATCTTTAAAGAAAAAATGACCAACAATACATTTTATCTGTAATTGAAGGTATACAATTGCATTCAAAATAAAATCAGTTGAAACCATAAAATTCTGTTCAAAATGTTTAGATTTTGGCATTAAATAACCCATAGAGGTGTTGATATGCCACTAAACAAAATCAACCAAAAGTTACATCTAGCCATTTCAACAGTAAAATGATGAGATCTTGCTGCCAATCTAGTACTGCACTTAAATTAACTGGATTCACAAACTTTGAGCTTTATAGAATGTGTGTGTGTGTCTGTGTGTGTGTGTGACAGAGTTTTATGTCCTTATGTAACTGTGATCCATTGTGAATAATGAATGTTTCTGTTTTGTAATTTTAACTAGCATCCCCAACTCAGCTCCAGTGGACAATCTACCCAGTCCATTGGCTCTTCAACTACTTCATGGTCATCAAGCAATAAGGAATCCCTGAAACATCTACACACATTACTGCTATTCAAATACATCCAACCATATGTGGTCAACAAACTCCTGCCTCGACTCCCAGAATTAGACAACCTAGGTATGTTTTATTTTTTTATTTTTCTCCTGTTACACATGTAGATATGTTTTACAGTTGATGTGGGAGGTATTTTTAAATTAATTTTTTTTACAAATAGAACAAAATAAAATTAAAAGAAAGCTGTTTATTAAAACATTGTTTCAAACCAAAAAAATTACCATAGCAAAAATAATGATATTTATTTTATTTTACATACATCATTATGTTTCATGTGATTGACTTTAAATGAGATGATGAAAAGCTCTTGGTCCACTTAAGAAGCCATTCCCCTTGAGAATCTTGAAAAGTTTTGAAAGTGGATTAAATCAAGGACTTTTAACGAACCCCTGGTATGTACATATGTGCATATATGTATCCACACACCTGCACAATGGGAACTTCTTATCTGGAGTAGATAAGGTCTTTGGGGTCACTCACATCATACCAGCAGGGATAGCCTTATGTTCACGGGAATAAAAACATACAATGAAATATCACAAAAACCATGTTAAATTGTAAATTAAAATCATAATTTTATTTATTTCTGTGTACTGGTATATTTATGTGACAGATTGTATTGGGTTACATGTTACCAGTAGTGGGCCTAAGCCTGACTTGACTTCATATTGAAGAAAGCAAATCAAGACAGGAATATTTTATTTTGTTAGTAAAAAAAAAAAAATTTTTTTAAATTAATTTGTTTTCCATTTCCGTTTCAGAAGTTCGAATCATTTCCTCAATTCGTCAGTGGCTGAATGCCAGACTCGTCCACTTTAAACGTTGGGATTCCATATTGACCACTGTGGAGAAAATGCTGTCCACCATAGAGAATTCCATCACAACTTTCGATGAAGACTGCCCTATTTGTGGAGAACATATCCTCTTATTATTTGTCTCTATCAAAAGTTATAATTGATGATGCATTTTAAAAATCAGTTGTTGATAAAAATAAATGTTTTTACAAAGTCCTGGAGGTATAAAAATGTAAAATCCGTCTCCCTTTATACAGATTTCTACATTCTTTTTATTATTTTTTTTTAATCAATTTTACTTCCAGTAAGGCAGTAAAGCCACAAAGACATAAGAGGTTTCTGGGTGTGGAAGAAGAAAACAGAAACATTACTAAAGAGTGAAAACAATAGAAGAGTAATCAGGAAGATAGTAAATAGCAATTGACATTGCATTTACGTTTTTGAAGATTAAAAGTTGACTGGGAAGCATGGAACCAGAAGAGTTCCACAAGTGAGAAGTACGAGAAAAGAAACTGTTTACATAGAACTTATGGTTATTTTTCTAACCAGCTCAACTGTAAATTGACAAGACCTCGTCACCAGTCTAATACTGTGCTTAAATTCATAAAGCCTAGGTATTATAGTGAAGAGCTCATCTGAACAATTATCATGAAAGTAGTTATAGAAAATGCAAAGGGAGGTAATTTTACAGTAGTGGGAAAATGACTGAAGATGAGATGCAAGGGTCAATTATCAATTATTGTTGAATAGAAATTTCTGAATTTCTTTGAAACAGGTTTCATTAAATTTGGTCATTGATGATATCTTGATAAATATTTTTATCATTTTAAAAATTTCAAATTGTCATATTTTATGAAATTTTATATAGTTTGCCCATTGGCGTTTACCGTGTTTATTAAAGGGTGATAACTCTTCATATTAATACAGTCTTGAAATAGACATTTTTTTAATAATAATGCTATATTTTGTGATAGCAAATTCATGCAAATATATTTGAACATTTCTTTTTGTATTTATTTCAAGTAACACATTTCATATATTTCTGTAAACAATGTTCCTATATATCTTTAAAATTTTCAGTGTAAAATTGTAACCAGTGTTTCTTGCATTTCTCCACTTGTCTCCCATATAAAATTGGTTCCATTGCTAAGAACCATTATTAATCTGAAGAAGTTCCTTCTCAGAATGAAATGTGTCATTTTAACATCTGATAACCCTATTGTTAGTTTGAATATATAGTTATATATTACGTCTTCCATGAATAGTCTGGACATAAAAAAGAACACTATATGGTGAGTGTCAGTTTCATGTCATAAATGTCCTTTTGTGGCATTTCTACCTAATATCAGTATATGTTGTCTCTGTAAAAACTTATACATACATGCGCACAAAATATATATATATACACACACACACTCACACTATGTACAGACTTTTTTATATCTATAGACACTTTATCGCCGATATTTATCACTTCCCCATAAATATAGCATATTTCAAACAATATATATTTTAAGCAATAATATATATATATATATATATATATATATATATATATATATATATATATATAATGAAATAAAATTTTGAATAGTAAATAAAAAATTCTATTTTTATATAAAATAGCATTTTTTATTTACAATTCAAAAATTTTTGAATTTTTGTATGTATACACACACATAAAATGCATTTATTTATATATATATATATATATATATATATATATATATATATATATATATACACATATGTTGTTTTTAATAATAAAAAAACATTGAGAAATTAAAATTTTCAGACACACTGGGTTGTATATTAACATTTTGTTTTGTTTTATTATTTCAATTAGATTCCTCGACTAGTTTTGGCCAGCATGAAGAAAAAAAAATTTTTGCTTGTTAATAGCAGTGAACTACAGGAATGAATGACTTTATGAAGAAAATGAACTTTCATGGGGAGCCAACTTAATTCAATTGCAATAATTATTAATTTTGTAGTGAAAGGGCCATTCATATATTTCCAACATTGTTTCGGGCATAGTGTGCATTCTAGGAGGTAAATTATGTTATGACTTCTACATACAGTTAGTCGTGGTAGAGTTTGAAAGTAGATTTAGTGGATTTAGATTTTTTGGTGTGTCTAATGTGGTTAAAGCATAAGCTTCTTTTGTTGTTACATGGTTGGGAAAATCCTGTTGTTTTCGTTTTTGGTTTATTACGGATTATCTTATCCCCTGAAATGTGGTTACTACCTAAAATTTCCTTTAGATTCTTAAGCCTACAATATGCTAGAAGGCTGGGTTCCTCAAAACAATTTTTTTAGGTTTGGTTTGAGATGTAGTATTTCCCAGCAACTTTTGATTATTTGGGATAGTGAAGGCAGAGTGGGGTTGAAAGTGGTTACTAGAGGGATGCAGCTGGGTTTATTTTTAATCTTGTACATTAGGCTGTCTTCTCTCGGTGTGGAAATTGCTTTATTTGTTCCCTGATTAGGTGTTGTTTATAGCCACGTGTTGTGAATTGATGCTCAAGATTTTCAATGTGTTTATTTAGTTCTTCATTGTTGGAACATATCCTTCTAAGTGCTTGTGAATAGGGAAGGTTCTCCTTGAGGTGTTTAAGGTGGGAAGACTTAAAGTGTAGATAGTTGTGTGTGTCGGTGATTTTAGTGTGGAGTGTCATTTGTAGTTTTCTGTTTTTATCTATGTAAATGCAGTTGTTTAAAATTTTTACCGATCTTGTGGAATTTTCATAGTCAAACTTAATTGAGTCATGTACTGTGTTTAGGGTCATGAGGAATTGAGAGTTTTTTGTCACTGCCTGTGTATACAAAGAATATATCATCGATATATATTGCATAGAATGCACTGTTACTACTGATGAAGAGATAGATATGGGTCTCCTCAAATTTTCCCATGAAGATTGTAGCATATGATGGAACTACAATGGTGCTCATGGCACAGCCTCTTACTTGCAGGTAGTGTGCTCCATTGAAGTTGAAAGTATTTAATCTAAGAATATGCTCCATGAGCTTTATGATAACTTCTGTGGGGAGGAGGTCTTGCTTTCTTCTTTTAGTAAGTGCTTCCTTAAGTGCGGTTAGTTTTTGATGTGTTTAATGCTTGAATAAAGTGATCCTATGTCAATAGTGACTAGAATAGCATTTTCTGGCACTGTTTGTATGTGATTAATTTTGTTTAGTAGATCTGTTGTGTATCTGATGTAGGATTTTACTTGCTTAGCTAGGGGCTCTATGTAATGGTTTACATATTTGGAAATTTTGGTTGTGTGGTAGTTAAATGATGAAATGACCAGTCTTCCTGGGTTGTTGCTTTTGTGTATTTTGGGAAGGGGATACAAGCAAGCAAGATTGATGTTTGTGGGTGTTAGTGTTGTGCATGTTACCTTGTTGGTAGTTTGTTGCAAAGCATCATGTTTAGTGAGTTAATTCTTTTTGGTATTTGGGAAGAGGGTCTGTGGGAAGGCTTTCATAGGTTTTTTTTTTTTTGTCGTTGAGCTGATTGTTGGCCTCTTTAATGTATTCTTTGATTCTCCAGATCACAGTGGCACCCTCTTTGTCAGCCTGCGTTATAATTAGGTCATCTCTATGTGTCAGCATGTCATGGGCCACCTTTCCTCCTTCAGTGATATCGTTATGTGGCAGCTTACATGCTATTGTTTTCTTTGTCATTTGTTACTGCCATTTCAAATGCCTGTAGAGTGATGTCTGTGTTTTGTGGGGTGAATGTAGAGTCCTTCTCTTTTAATGTTTCGAGTATGGAAGGTGTGAGGTTATTGTCTCCATAGTGGGCTTTTAGCCGTATTCTTCTAAAGAAGGATATCAGGTTCTTTACCAATGTGTCCTTATCAAACCTTGGGGGACTAGGACAAAAGCTTAGTTCTTTATTTAATAACTTGAATGTGTCGAGTGAAAATTTACTGTTACTTAGATTTATAACTCATCCGTATGGGTCATGTTTGTATTTGCAAGCATATATATATATATATATATATATATATATATATATATATATATATAAGCATTTATTTATATAAAAAAAAATATATATATATATATATATATATATATATATATATATATATATATATATATATATATATAATGTTTGAAGTAAAAAAATATATATATGTTGGATTGAAAATGATATATATATATATATATTTAATATAACTGTTTTATATATTAGATATGCAAAGACACTTTCTTTAACATTTGCACTTCTTGAAGATACCGAAGTCATGCTGGTATCCTGTTCAAATGACCATAAATTTGGTAAGTATTTTCTGAAAGTTGATATTTTTTAGGTTGTTTATCAAAATGTGTTCTCCTCAGATTAAAAGTGATCCAGAGCAGCATTCATGTTTAATAATCAATAATTGAAGTGTATTTCTTTAATATTTGGATGTCCAGATAGTGTACTCGTTATTGTCATCAAAAATGGGATTGTCATATAGAATTCAAGTTTCAACCAAGACCATCATGTTTGCTTTTGCAAAATTACCTTTGGAAAGGCATGACTCTTTCTCTTCTTTCTCCCCACTAGGGATTAATAGCAGAACAAACTTGACTTTGTAGCTTTGGTTGTTAACTAGTCTAGGTGAAGGATAGCGCTGATACACCCCATAAAAATATGCATGCTACATAAACTATGGTATCAACACCCCAGACTACTGTATTTGATGATACTTAACCCCCTCCCCAACTCACAATAATACAATATTGCAAAATTGTGTAAAATTATTTGTAATCTATGGCATCAATGCACATAAAATCTGAAAAATATTTTTTGAGATGTTTTTGTCAAATGATGAGGAGAAATCTGAAGAAGTAAAACAGGTGAACATTAAGATAGTAACAGCAAAGATAAGGATATTAGTACAAATGTAAGTAATGGGTCATCTTGTATGCCATCAATACAGTAATTTGATTTGACAGGGATTAGTGGGTTCTATCTTTTCTGTTTTAATTCAACCCAGAACTGCTCAAACTGTTAAATATGATTGTGTAAATTTTCAGATAGAGTGTGTAAAGAAACAAAATGAATAAACAATATTTATTTATTTTGAAAAAAAAAAAAAAAAGCATTTCTTGAATATTACTTGCTTATTTTTGTCTTATCAGACTTTGAATTATGGCACTCTGTGTCCTTCACATGTTTTGACTGACCGTTCAACCACCTGATGAATATTCATGAATGTTCTCAAATTTAAAAGCCTTGATAAACCAATGACATCCTTGCTCCTGTATATAAACTCATGCAACAAAAGAAATCCTACATTTGCCTTGATAAAGTCCCTGAGAAGACAAAATATGTCGGCTAAGAATAGTTTTTCCTCATCTTTTTATTCAAGTATGATTATGCATATTGGAAATAAAGTTACCAAGATGAAGTTTCTAAGTTTTGAGAATAACAGATTTTGCTTTCCTGTCTGGATTTCTAGGATGAGGAAATAACAACAAAGATGAAGTCATTATTCTGAATGTAAATAATTTTTTTTTAAATTTTTATTTCATCTATAATATTTAGCAGACTTGAGGAAAATTGTTTTATTAAAATGTTAATATAATTTTCCACAGATAATAATATTGTTTGGTCAATGAATGGCAAATGTTTTCTGTATGGAAATGATGTTGGGATCTGGACTTCCAAGGTTTTTGGTTTTATCTGTGTGTTAGGATCCAAAACATTGAACAACAACAACAAATCTTTTAAATGAAACATAAAAAAGGTTATTCACTGAAGGAAAAATAGAAGCAATATGTCAGTAGAAATAACATTTATATATTCTTTTCAGAAATCTACAATAGCAATAAAATGTTTAATTTTCCTTGCTGTGAAATTTGTTTTATAAAGTAATTAAGTATTCCTTGTGCAGTGTGTTGGACACTTACTTTATGACAGTCAGCCTAATGTGTTTGTGAGTTTGTAGACAAAGGCTTAGTAGGCTGCTACTGGTTATTCTCTTCTATTGTGTGCATGGACAAGGCTTTAGTCAGCAGCTCCTGAGTATTCTCTTCTATTATGAGTATGCATATATAGATCAAAAGGCCTCCAAAATTGTTTTGAACCTTGAGAAGCAGTATGCTTCTATTTTTATATCCATAAGAGAGATCCAAAATCTAATTTCACTTAGAAAAATAGCATGAACTTTTTGAATACAAGATTTTCATTAGAAAATAATTTCACACTGGCTCATGAAAATCTTTTTCTCAAATATGTGGGAGTGGTGAATGGAGTTATTATTGTTGTTTTCTAAATGGTCCCAAAATAATACATGGTAGGTCTACAACTACATCTGTACACATTTTGGTGGTATTTGCCTAATTTTACAATTACTATTACCATTTTGTCAAAAGCAGAAAAAGATCTTCCATTGATCAGTTTTTTGTGATTCCATCTGATTCACTGAAATACTTCTGTGGTGATCATCCAAAAGAAATCCTTAGAACTTAGTTTCCATCAAACTGTTTCATCAACTAGATTTTTTTTTTTTTTTTTTTTTTTTTTTTTTGAGAAAGTGAGTACAAAATAAACCATGCTGAAATTGAAGATGTTGATTAAAAAATGTTGAAATTGATTATAACACTGGATCTTTTTAACTCACCTCTCAGGCCGCTGTTGCAAATCATTCTTACCCTGTAAAGACATCCCCTACCGTAGATGTTCTCTGTGCAGCAATGTCGCTATGCCCTTGCATATGATTCGAGGTAAGTAAAATATTTGTCTTTACAAACAACTTTATCCCAAAGACATTAGTGGTATTATATGACCATGCTTAAATTCTCACTTCATTAACAATTGTGGTTAGAAATTTTTTTTTTTTTTTTTTTTTACTTAGCTCTGATTCTTGTTCAGAACAAAGCAAATGTTCTTGTTTTCCCACTGATGTTCCAAAGCCTTGAAACTGTTTTCATGTGTTTTCTTTAAAAAATTGACAAAGCCACTAAGATGCAAGGGTTTACTGAAAATGAACGACAATAGAGTGAAGGAAACTAGGAATATGTTTAATAAGAGAACAAGATTCAGAGAGATAGAAGATGATGATTGACATTGCATTTAACTCTTTGTAGGTGACAGGAAAGTAAGAAGCTGGAAGAGAGTACCATAGGCAAGAGATGCAAGAGAAGAAACTGTGATAGTAATGTTTAGCAATTTTAACAGTAAAATGATCAGACTTAACTGCCAATCTAGTTCTATGCTTAAATTTGTAATGTTGGAGTACAAAAGAGGAAAGAATAATTCCTGTGAGATTATTTATAGAAAAGGTGCAGGGAAACTATGTTATGGCAATGGGATAGTGATTGAAGCCAAGATGCCAGGTCAGGATTTGTAATATTGCAGATTCTTCTTTTGAATTTGGATCAGAATCTCAGGATACATAGCAATAGCACCAGGCCAAATGTGGTAACAATATTCAATGCACAAACAAATGGCAGACTTATAGCACTGCAAGACAAATTCAGGTGAGAAGAATTGTCTACCATGACACAGTGAACTGACTTTCTTAGTAGCAGGCTTTGCAATTGACTAGATATAATCATTTCAATTCATACCTGTGGAAAATGCTAGATCAAGAAAGTGCAATGAGTTACTTTCCTGGATGTTAGCATCAACAATGTTGATGGAAGGCAAAAAAAAGGTTCTCTGAGATTATTAAAAGAGACCAGTTCAGGTATTAAAATTAAACAAGCCATTTCTTGTCCCAGTTAAAATCTTCAAAATCAGCTGCCAATTTGACTTTATCAAACCATATCATTAAGAATGAATTAAATAGTTGTGCTATCATAGATACTGAGCTGAAAATTGTAATTATTTTTACTTTTATTTGGCAATTAAAATAATTTTTTCTTCAGATTCTGACTATTTTTATGTCTTATCCACCATTGGATGAGACCATAAGATCTTTGATATGTTGTATCAATCTCTCTCTCTCTCCTACTAAACTTCATTGGTCCTGGGAATGATGATAAACTACATTCATCAACAAGGCCTCTGATTGAGAGATTTTGAGGAGCATGGAACCACCTCTTAATTACTGTTGTCCTTAGGTCCACCCTGATTGGAGTGGTAGCATTTGTTAGGGTCCCAAATATGGGCAAATAATTAACCCCCAAAAATGGGGTCAAAACGCTAATAAAGTATTAAAAAAATGCTAGTAAAAATACTAGCAATACATTTTCATAGTTAAAAAAAATTAGCAGCAATACATTTTTGTATAAGAAATTACTAATGCTCCCAATAAAATTAAATTTTGGCCTTAAGTGACCCATAAGGAATTGATATGCTGCTAAACAAACTAAATTTCATTTTTTTTTCTTTGTTGCCATAACTTTACTTTCTCACTATGTTTATTTGAATACAAATCTACATATTGCATAAGTCTTATTTTCATTTTTGAACCTAATAATTTTACTAATGATTTTTACTTGAAACTATTCATCATGTGATACCTGTTTCCTTCCTTCTTTTTTTTCTTTCTCTTCCCTCTCTAGATGTTTCCGGATTGTGTACATCTGACCCACATTCTTGCAGTTTCTGTGAAGATTCTTTGTGTGGGACTCAGCAAATGTTTGTCCTCTCAATGTCTGAATGTCAGGACCCAGACCCCAGCCAATTTCTTTAATGACTATCAACACCAATTTGGACCAATGTCTATATGAGAGAGAAAAAGTGAGAAAGAAAGAGACAGAAGAAGAAAGAACTAACCAAGTGATTGGACTAGTTTGATGAACATATTCATGTATCAAAACATTCATCCTCATTTACCTATAATGTATTGCTTCACAACTTATGATTTTGCAAAATTAGTGGAAAAAAAGAGAAATGAAATGGATTTCAAAATGAAATAAAATTGATATTTTGAGTTTTTTTTTGTTTTTTTTAATTAACAAATTCTCTTCTTTTAATTCTTTTTTTTTTTTTTCTTCTTTTTTCATATTTACAAAATTCATTTAATTCTTGATGTGGGCTCAATTTGAATTTTGTCAGATTTAAAAAGACTTCCTGTTTTTTTTTTTTCCTACTTGTACTGTTTTAAATATATCTATCTACTAACAATTCAGATCAAAATTGTTTTAAATAACAAAAATTAAGTATAAACATCCTCTCACTCCCAAATTCAATGATTTTCAACTATTATTATGAGAGATTTGCTGAAAATTTTTTAGACATTAAAAATAAATTCTGTTTAGTCATTTGGACAGATTTTGAAAAGTGACCTAGTCTGAGAACATTAAGTTTCATTGCTTAATTTAGTGACCATTTGGCTTACATAATGATCAAGCCTCAATTGGACAATAATTAACATTTTTGGCATATGTGAGTAGAATTATTAAATATATATGTCTATTAATAATACTAAATTTCTTTCACTTGACTCTGACCAAATTACACAACCTTTTCTGATGCTCTTCAATTTAACTCATTTGTATAAAATATTTAAAAATTTAAGGAAATGTTCTCTTGTTTGTAGACTGAGTAATAATTTGCATTGAATCCAATATTGTTTACTTATTCACTTGAATAAATTATTAAATGTTCAGACATACTAAAGATGGCATGTCTTTATACTTTTACATTATATAAGATGTAGATTTGAATTTATGTCCAAGATGTACAAATTTAGTAGCTTCACTAAAATCAAAATATATGAAATGTACATTCTTTGCATTTTTATGAATGGACTTGATGGCATCACATGAAAAGACAAACTTTCTAAAAAAAAAAAAAAAATGAAAAGTCAATACCTCTGCTGTAGTCAGGTATTGAACTCACAACTCTGTGTCAAGTAAACATTTTTATCCATTGAAGAAAAATTTGGAGAGTTGAGTTAAAAGGGTGATAACTAATACTGAGACATTCAGAAGAGGCATGGCATGTGGAACTAGAACAATACAGCCCGGTAGACGAAATAAAGGGTTCAGTTTGAAATTCCAATTATCTGAAGAAGGCCAAAGCATGAATGTAGCAATGAAGATGAGGACAACAATCCGATGTAAAAAGTTACAATACCTAATCTCGGAAATATAAACAGATAATGTAGATATAAATTTAAATAAAATATTTGTATGTACCTATATAAATGTGCTCAATATCAGAGATAGAGCTTATATAAATATAAGAGTGGACACTGAGATCAACCAGTGACAATCTGTTCCATGCTTGGATGCAATCTTCGGGCTATGTAGTTTGTGTTTTGGTTCAACTGTGTCTGCTGGTCAATGATGCATTATGGGTACCAAGGTCTATTATATTATCCGAACAATTATTGTGTAGGTGGTAATGGTCATGTTTCAAAATATTCTAAAGTTGAGGACAGCAACCTACGGCACCTGTGCTGCACATGACATCACAAGGTCCAAACCAATAACTACTACAATGCAAAGAAGATATTTAGCTGTTTCAAAACTGCTCACTCGTTGGACTCCCATTAATAATAAAAACTTAAAAAAAAAAAAAAAAAACTTTTAAAAACAGTTTATTTCTATTAATGTGGTTTACATATTATTGTATATATTACGATATAAAATATATTGTAGAACAGGTATATTGACATTGACTTGTATAAAAATATGTATGTTGTTAGTATGCTGAATGATCTTAAAACCCTAAGTCGGTACATAGCAAAAGGTTGCCAACCCCTGTTCTAGAGGCTATTGGGTAGGAATAATTGTGGATCTGAATGCGGTTGTTTTTAGCTATTTTATAGTAACAAATTGTTTATGTGTCTGCATTTTTGATTTAGAACTTTATTTTTTTTTTTTTAATCATTTCATCCAAGCAAGGCAATAAAGACACAAGGTGTTACTGAGTGTGAAAGAATGAGGAAAAGAAAAACATTATTAAGGAGCGAGAACAATAAAAGAACAGGAATTAAGAAGACAGAATATAACAATTGATATTGTATTTAAAGTTGATTGGAAAGCAAGAAGCTGGAAGAGAGTTCTACAAATGAAAAGTGCAAGAAGAAACTAAAAGAAATTTTTTTGGGGGGGGATGGTCGAAGAGAGAACATCACCTCTCTTGTTGCAAATATTAAAAAGGTGCATACAATAACAAGACTCAAGACTACTACATGAAATTTGAAAGGTACAAATATTTGTTACATTGATATGAAACAAAATACAATTTTTACAAAAAGGCTTGTAGAAAATTTTAATTTTGTATTCCTTATTATGAACAAGGCAAAATAATATAACAAAATTATAGAAATTATTGGCTCTAAAAATGTACATATATTTACAATACAATTTTTCAGATCATGAAAAAAAAAACCTTGAGAAGGAGAGAAAGTAATCGTTAAAAAAAAAAAAATTTGCACTTACCGAAATAAAGATGAAAAAATTTTGATCCCGTGATGTGTTCCTGTGATATTTGATGATATTTTGAAATTTCTTGGTTTTCTTTCTGCTTAGCTACTGTGTGTTTTACTGAGGCCTTTAACAATATTTTAAAAATTTTTGTTTTTTTTGTGAGCTTCTTTTTCATGGTTGGATTAAAGATTCTCTTTGTTGTTCTTTTTTGTTGTCGTAGAAGTTGTTGACATAAGTCCTTGAGAAATGCTAAAACTTTAAAGCTTTTTGCCCTCCTAGTGACTTTCACACATGAATACCAAAAACCCATCCACATCCAGCTGGCCTGCCTCCTTTACATCTGACATCCAAGTCCCTTCTGGTGTTATCCACTAACTCGAGTATTTTTTGTCCAATGAAAAGGATGGCTTTTGCCCTCATAAATTTAAAGTTGAGGTCCGTTTGAGCCTCGTTTGAGAGTATATAAGAACTCAAGTCAGTGGATATGGGAAACTTTATCAGTAACAGTTAAAAATCAAAAACAACATTTAGGAAAAAAGTGTAAAAAATTAGGGGCACTTTTATTTCTGAAATGAAAATTACAACTTTCTACAAAGTAACTTTTCTTGCTTTTTTTTGTTGACAAATTCTTCAATGACATCAAAAACTATTTCATCTGTCACTCTATAGACAATGGATAGGCCAATATATATGCCACAGTTTAAGTTACTCAAAAAGATCCTTTAACTGTGAATACTATTCCAACATTAAAACCACTATTAATTTCAATATAGCCTACAGCAGACACAAAAGTGCCACCCCTATAAAAGTGCTGCATGGTGCAAACTACCCCCACTTCCTTCCTGCCATTGGATAGAAATGCTTCATGGGTAGGGATTCTAGCTGGATGGCACCGAGAAAAAATCTTAGATCTTCATATACAGTAATTTGCAATTAATTTTTTTACAGTCAAGTTTTGCAGGACTCTGAGTAACATTTTCTGAACATTTAATTGTCTATGTGTCTGTATATACACTACAGATAAAAAAGTTTTAGGAAACCTTACTGACATTAGATTTATATTTTTGAAGATCAAATTTGACTGGAAAGCAAAAGGCCAGAAGGAAGTTGCACAAGTGAGAAGTGCTATAGAAGAAACTGTTAGCACAGAACTTATGATTACATTTAACAATTTCAACAGTAAAAAGATGAGACCTAGTTACAAGTTTAATACTGTGCTTAAATTTGTAAAGTCTAGGTGCCAAAGGGGAAAACTCATCATTAAAATTACCATCAAATATTTATAGAAAAAGTACAGGGAAGCTAGGTATGATGGTGGGAACTGAATATTTTGTTTGATCCATAAGGGTAATTTTTTTTTTCACTTTGTATTCTACCTACATGGATGGAATAAAGGATTAGATTCAAAATTTCAATAAATTAAGAAGACAGACACCTGAAGAAGTTCGAAGAGAGCAATGGCTGAAACATTGCCAGAACAGAATGTTTATCTGAATTGTAATCTTATATAATAATTTTATTTTTTACTATTTTAAAAAATGTGTTTATAATCACATTTGAGCGATGATGAAATATATATATATATATATATATATATATATATATATATAAAGTTTTTATTTAATAAGTAATTTGATTTTTTTATTGTAAAATGCACCATTCTCTCTCTCTCTCTATATATATATACACACACACACACCATGAGGCACCAACAAGCATGCTTAGATCACGTGACTACCGGATGTGATGGTCACGTGGTCGGAAGTGGCAGTTGCCAACAGAAGGCAGCACCATTATAGAGATTAGCTACACATCAACGAAGGCCGAAGATTGAGCGACGTGCGAAAAATCCATTCCTTCAATTTGTTTTTTTTTTTTTTTTTTTAGTTTTTTGAAAAAAAGAACATTACAGAACCCTTCATCATGTCCGATATTTCGTCAAATGATTGGAGAAGTCCCACCTTTCGTAACCGGGTGGTTGGACAAATGTAAGTTTTAGAAACATTTTCTTAAGTGGTAGGGAAATATTTATTTTCACACCGTGCGTCGATCGAGCAAGAAAAGAGAAAGGAAAAAAAAAAAAAAACCCGAAAAACTTGACTCAACGTTGGCGGGAGGGGGGGAGAAAAAAGTGAAATTAAAAGCAATATTAATATTATTGTACATCCTGATTTGATTTCGGGATTTTAAAATTTTTTTTTTTTTTTTCGTTGATGAAAATATTTAACGAATACATTCTTTTTTTTTTTTTTTTTTTTTAAAGTCTTTCAGACGATTCTTCATTTTTAGGTTTCAGGGAAAAAAAATCCAATGCTAGTTTTTGTTTTTAAATTTTTAAAGTAAATAAAAATATTAAATTTTTTTTTTGTCCCACTGATCCTTATTAGTTTTTTTTTTTTTTTTTTTTTTTCATTTTTTATTTATTTACATTTTTAGTCTTTTTTTTTTATATCTTCTTAATTTTATACTTATTTCTGGAATAAATAATTTCTGGCTTCGTATTCTTTTTTTTTTTTTTTTTTTTTTTTTACGTTTACATGAAAAAAATTGTCGACATAAAATCAGATAGAAATCATTTTTTTTTTTTTTTTTGTCGGGAAATACTTCCTTTTTGTGTCTAAAAAAAAAAGCCAGAAAAACCATTTCTTTTTCTTAAAACCGATTATATTTTTGAAATGTTTACTCCCGTTATAAAAAAAAGGAAGCAAAACATTGTTTTCAAATGTGATGGCAGAGTTAATTATATACATTTATTTTTAATTAAACATTAATTTGGATAAAAAATAATTTCAGCTTCAAAAAATTGTGTAGCTGTGATTATTTTTAATAAATCATTCATTTGATAAGTTATCAATACAAAAAAAAATGTTTAGTCAGTCTCTTCATCAACGAAACATTTGTTTTGTTTCAGTTTGTATTTGAAACTTAATGAAAGATGCAGTAAAACAAGTCAAGTAAATCATTTTTTAAATTTTATTTATTTGCTTACAGGATTATTCATTAAAAAATCTAAAACCTGTTACCTTCATTTCTAAAAATTGTATGTTTTTGTACCTTGATTTTTTTTTCTTTACGAAATTTTTTTTTATCATCCAGTCATTTTCAATCAAAAATGAGAAAAAAATGTCGAAATTTAAGAATTAACAATTCAAAGCAATAATAATATTTTAAACATGACGTTTGAAACTATGAAAAAATATTTTTGAGTTTGACATTTGTCATAAAAAGCAAATAAAAACATTGTATTTCCTGAAATTCAAATAAACGAATTTATCCAAAATTTATATGGATAAAAATGATGCTTTTTATTTAAATCCTAGTCTGGTACAAGAACATGTGAGACGAGATTCAGTTGTAATTATTTAAATGCTAATCAATGGTTTCGAAAGGCTAGTTCGTTGGTGTTAACCATTGTTCCACAGTAAGGCTATCAAAATATGCTTTTTTTTTGTTTTATCTTTACAGGAAATGAGTTTTTTTTTTTCTAATTTAAACATTTTTTTTTAAAAAGCAAAAATATATTTGAAAGTGACATCAGCTCTACTTATAGTCTCTTCTCACACAAAAAAAGAAAACAGTGTAAAAAATACTTGGTTTTCATTTGTAAATAATTTGAATAATTTATTTTTTGTATAGAGATTTTTCCTTTTATTCAGCTTCAAATTTACTCCGATTCCTTTTATTTAAAAAAAAAAAAAAAAAAAAGCCACTTTTGAATTTATGATCTCACAACAAATATAATTTGATTTGAGCTTTATCGTTTATCTGAATTTCTAGGATGAGGAGGAGTTATATCATTATTCACATTGAATACAAACGAGGACAATAAGTCCAATCCAAATGTAATATAATTTGTAAATAAATTGAGATATTGTTTATTTTTAAGGTTCTGAACAATTTCTGATTACTAAATACTGAATTACCTCCCATACTTTTCCTTACCTTGCCTCATATTCTAGAGAATTTGGAAATTGAAATTATATGCATAGTCAAACTTTGAAAAAGCAATATTTGTTAATATTTTTCCCTGTAGATGAAGAAGTAGTTGTTAAGACTTGAAATAAATTATATTCCAATTTCGAAAATTATCATTTTATTTCTGACGCACGACTTTTAAAATTTAAAAAAGGTGAGCTTTATGAGGCTAGGTAAAGTAATGTGGAGTAATTCTGTTTGGTATGCATAGTGTTAAAATGATGCCTGCGGTATTTATATAGTGTGTAGTTAGTTCTGAATTCTCATCCCTGGGACAACTAATTCTCTCCTATCTGACACCTTATAATATACTTCTATGATGTCTGTCTTTCTTTCTCTCTCTCTTTTTTTTTTTTTTTTTTTTTTTTTTGAGGTTCATTCATAAAAGATTAATCTTCTGTGTGCCGTGTCCCTTCAGGACATGGGTGATCATGGCTCTCTACAACTTCCTGTCTTATGTAGCCCTTAGTAAAGTTTATTTTTGCTGTTAGTTAATCAATCCCAGTTTTTAAAACCAAGCTCATCATTTAGGCTGTGTTGTTTTCCTCTGTTCCACTTGCCTTTATGTCCTGACTGTGTCAAATTTTCCAGGCCGTTATTATGTGTCCTAGAAATTTCAACTCTTCCTAATGCTATGTATGTGTCTGTTTTGTTTCCATTTTCTTTAAAACTTCATTGTTGCTCATATGTTCAGTCTATGGTATCCTCAGCATCCTTCTGCAGAGCCACATTTCTGTTGCTTCAAATCTCTTCTCCATCTGTTATGAAATAGTCCAAGTTCATATAGGAGAACTGATATTGCATAACAATTCAGTACTTTTTTTTTTTTTTGCCAATGAAATGTTCTTGTTTCTTAATACTTAGGTTAATGTTTTGAAAACATTTTTTACTATTCCAATGTGCCTTCATATTTCAGTAACATATTTTCCATCCTCTGTTAAAACACTTCCTAGATATTTAAATTTTTTTACTTGTTTAACTTTAGTATCTCTAATTTCTAATTCACATGTTAGGCTGTTTCTTATGCTGGCAACCATACGTTCTGTCTTCTTTCATTGATGTTTAGTCCTTTCTTCTCACTTTCCTTTACTACCTTCCGTAGGAGTTCTAATTTTGTAGGAGTTCTTAACATCTAATTGTTAAGGTTGTAGTCACCAATAATGAATCTTGGTAGGATTTCAAATTCTCTCAGGATGACCTCACTGAAAGGTTGAATAAATCTGGTGAGAAGACACACCCTTGTCTTATGGCCATTTCTATTTTTGTGTATTTACTGAATTGATTTTTTTAATATCCTTCACAATTTAATCAAGCTTACCTAGCAGATTTTTTTGTGGCATATCTTGTCAAACACTTTTGTAAAATTTATAATAGCTATAATCACTATCAAAAATTTAATGAATTATTCTCCTTTATTCAATTTTAGCCAATATCTTCCTGGCATTAGTTTAAACTTTTATCAACATTATATCTAAGCAATAATTATAAACTGTAATTTTGAAAGTGAAAATTTAACTCAAATATGTTGGAAATTTTCCAAGTTTCTGTTTAAAATCCTGAAAATACATACTTTCAGCTAAAAGGTCACAATATACGAGGAAAAAAGTGTCAGTTTAAACTGACATTAGGTAAATGTGAATTAAAATTGCATCTTTACTACAATCAGTTTCCCTTATATATTTAATTTATTAGTAATTTATACGATTGCATGATTTTGAAATTTTTTTTTATTTCAGTGATAAAGCCTTGCACCAGTCGGGCTCTAAGATTACTAAAACAAGTGTTGAAATGGAAAATCATTTATATCAGAAGGCAAAATCAAGGGTAAGTAACATTTTTACATTTTTTCTTTTTTCTATTTTTGAGAGGTTGGAGCAAATCTCAAATCTTTGCCATACATTTGCTGTTACAAAATGCATTTGAGAGGTTGGAGCAAATCTCAAATCTTTGCCATACATTTGCTGTTACAAAATGCATTATATGGAACATTTCCTTTGAAAATGAGGATGAGTTCTTGTCAAGAAATTAAAAAAAAAAACATATATTTTATATATATATATATATATATATAAATAAAAAGAACAGTAAGATATATAATTCAGTGTTCTTATAGATAATAGATATTTTTATTTTTACAAAATAGTGCTCAATGTAAATTTACAGAGCATTAATATTATAAATTAATTGATTTAAAATGTTTTTTTTTTTTTTTTTTTGCTACACAGTTCTAACCATGTTTCAAAAATGGAAGCTAAAAGCTCCGAATTTAATTTTGTAATTAAATTAAAGACATTAGTTCCATTTCATCCTCAAGCGAATTTTGGAGTAACTTTTAAAATTACTGGGTTTTAAAGACACAGCTGAAATCATAATTCACGTTTCCAAAGTTACAGATAAATCCACTTCCACTAGACAAGGGGTGTCTGTGTGTTCATTATGTCTGTATTTTGATGTATCAGTTATTAGTTACATTTTGGTAGGGGGTAGGGATGTATTTTTCAATGAAATCTAACATCCGTTAAATGCATGTCGTCTGGATTTTTTAAAATTTTATTGTTAACGGCAAAAATTCTTACGCCATTTTTTTCTATTTGTATATTTAAAGATTTTTGGGGGGTGTTTAGGTTAGAATACGCTTTATTTAACTACGATTTGAAATGTTTTCACTTTTAATTTTTAATATACTATATTTCTTTTAAGAACAATTAAATGTATTAGAATCCCTTACAGTATGTAGAATTATTTTCACATCAAGTATAAGTATATATATATATATATATATATATATATATATAATTTTTAATATTGATGAATAAATATGTTATTAATCAGGAATACTGCAGAGCGTTTTATTATATTATCAATTTCAATGTTCACTTTATGATGCCAATGTTGTAAGAAATAATTAAATTTTGAATATGACTTTTGTTTCTCATATAATTGTGGGGGTTGCATTCATGTCTGAATAATTGCTACTAAAATTTTTAAAAATTTAATTGAAAGAAATGCTGTGATAGAACAAAGTTAGAATTATCATTTAAATTCCAGCAAAAGTATTTTATGGATTTGCATTTCTATAAATTGTCAGCAATGAAAATTATTCCAAACCTTTTATTGATTTTTAAGATATGCCTGGATTTATATCAGTGGTAGCATTTTAAGACTCAGTTTGACAACCCTTTTATGATTACATTGCATTTGTATTTATTGCTAAAATATTAGATAAGATCTTTAAGTGAAGCTGTTAAAATGTAGAATGCATATATAAAAAGTTCTTTTAAGAAGAATAATTTATGGGGCTAGGAATGAAAATAGTAAAAGATTAAAAACAAAAGATTTTGAAGTTTAACTGGAAAAGACTTTGAATGAATGAAGAAGAAACTCTGATCTTACAGAAGATTGTATTCTTCCAAACTTTGAAGAAGGCAATAGGAAACGACTCTGTTATTTTTCTCAAGATAGCATGGCAGTTTACAGATAAAGAAAAAAAGATTATCTGTGGAGATTCCTGATCATTCCTGTCCTTAAGGGATAAGGCATTAGAAAAAAAGATAGAGAAACTAAAAAAAATCAGGTATTTTCAATTTCTTTTGCTGTTAATGAAACTATTAACATCTGATCTCATCTTACACCATACCCAGCATCCAAATGTCTATATTTTGGATATGTGATTGAGTGATAGCAACTTTAGAATTATTTAAAAAAAAAAAAAAAAAAATAAATAAATAAAATGTGGAGTTGTAACTCATTTTTATTGATTAGCATTCGTTGAACCTTCCTTTATTTGTAATATTCACAAGAATCAAAAAATATTAAAAATTTCAGAGGGAATCCTGTTCATATAAATACAGTGACAAAATGAACCCTGTTTTTTTTTTCTTTTTAAAAGAATTATCTTTATTTTGTTTTTATTTACAAATGCCAAATTTGAAATTTTATCCAAATAAATTAAAAAAAATTTTTTTTTTTTTTTTTCTAAACATAGGTATATATTTTCCTTTTTGTCTTTGACTTTATTACAAAAAGGCATTTGCACAAATATAAGGAGATAAATATTTATAATCTGAAATGAATCCTACCATTAGCAATTTTCCTCTGACAATACTTAATGTTATGCCATTATATATATATATATATATATATAATTTAGGGTGTATGGTAAAGTTTTGCAATATGGTTCATGATATTATTTGAAGACATCATTGTAGGCATAATGCAAATGCCATATAAATTTGTACAAATAGGAAGATAACAATGACAAATGCATAGCATGCATACATTTTCTTTTTTGGTTTTTTGCAAAACAGATTTATCTTAAATGAAGAATAAAATATATACATTTTTATGCGATATATTTTAAGAAAATATGAAAACTAAGCGATTGTTTAACAAACATCTTAAAATTGTAAAAGTTAATTGAGTTTGACATTCAAGATAAACATTTATTATCTCCCTTTGTGCTTGGGGTCTCCATAATAAACCCAAAAATGAAGATACATTAATTCGTTTTGCAATAAATTTGTTTAAAAATGAGGAACATCCTAAACTAGAAAAAAACAACAGTAGTATGCTGTTATCAATGACATGAGCCCAGTTTTAAATTTGATATTTGTAAATAAAAACAAGGTAAAGATAGCTTTAAAAATTCCAGGGATTGATTTGACATTATGTTTATATTATGAACAGGAACCCCACTTCTAAAATTATAAAAATATATATATATTTTATGGATTATTTTCTTTTTTTCTCAAGTAATTTTAGAGAGTGAGGTCTTGTTCCTAATATAAATACAGTGTTAGATTGGTCCCTGATCTTTAATGAGTTATCTTCTGAAATGATAAAAAAATCCATATTTTTCTATTTTGACAAACATTGCAACTAACAGAAAGTCTGATGAATACTATTTGACAAAAATTAGTTGTCAAAAAACTTTTCTCTATTTTTTCTTTTTTTCATGAGCAGACCATTTTCCTTCAGTATTACTACGACTTTTTTCCATCATGTGAACTTACTATTTGATATCTAAAGATATCTATACGAGGATAGATAGGTTTTTTGTGATGGCTATTAAAAATAGCTGATTTTTTTAATTTACTACATCTCTGTTCATCATTAGCCTTCTGCTAAGTTTATTTATTTATTTTTATTTTTTTTTTATTGTAAGTTCATCAGCCACATTAACTATTTCACATGTTTTCTGCTACAATTGTCTTGATCCTCTGTTTTACCACTAGAGTTTATGATTTTAATCTTTCAAACAATCCTCAATTGAGTTCAACAAGCTGTAGTTTGCAGCTGTATGTTTACAACAAAAGCTGAATAACCATTTGCAAATGGCATTTTTGGAGCCATCCAAGAATGCTGGAAAGCATGGCTGCCTGCTAACTTAGTATATTGAGTATTATTCTATAGAAATATTTAAAAAATGTGAATTTTATATTTTTTTTTATCTTGTAATTAACATATTAAAAATTTTGAATTTATTGATGAATTTTCAGTAGAGTGCCAGTACATTTTCAATTCTTGTTTATTCATGTGGATGGTCAGTGTTCTTGACGAGAGAATTTATAGCAATTTGTTGTACGTTTACGAAATTTGACAGCAAATTAACCAAATCTTGAAAGAATTAGATTACATTATTGTTGAAGCTTAAATAAGCATGGAATAATACAACACAAAATGTACGTTAACAAAATGTATTGAAACAAAGAATAGGTACACAATATTTACAGTTAGTTTGGTATATTCTTGGGAAGACTGTTCCTGCATAATGGGTTGACTAAATAGTCGGGCAGAGTCTCTGGATTCAATTCCTTAATCTCTACTAAGTATTTAAAATACACAACACCCTCCTCCCAAGCCTTGGAATCCTTTTTTTATATATGGGTTTTTATGGCTATTTTTTGTAGATCCATTTGCCTAATTTTTAATTTTTTTCGTTTTTGGATTCACGTTCAATGGGTCCGTTAACTTCCGTTTCCTACCGGATCTTCTTGGTTCAGGTGTATTTTGGAGGTTCTACCTGAAACATATCATACATTTATCAATGGGATCTTCGTCCTCATCCGGTATACACTCTTCTTTTTCTATACCGTAATCTTTTTTTGGTTTTTGCCTTTTATAAGTATGTGGCCCTTTAATTGGTAAACCAGGTCACCGATTCTCTTGTCCACTATGCCTCGTTCCCAGAACTCAACGTTGTTTTTATAGCTTGAAAAACACCTTCTCTCCGGGGACGCTGTATACATGGTATTTTTTTTGTATTTTTTTACTGGCAAAAGCTTGTCAAACACTGACTTAACTTTCCTAGCGAACATTAGTTCAGCTGGTGCCATGTTTGAATGTGTTCTCTGGTTTGGCGTGATTCTGTATTAGAATTAGCGCCTTTTCCGTTGGAACTCCTGAGGCTTTCTTCAGAGCTCGTTTTAAAATGTCGACAAAAAAGACCTCGGATGATTGAGCGTCGTTATGTGGTTAATTTGATATAACTCACAAAATTTCTTAAATTCTTCAGAAGTGAATTGTGTACCATTGTCACTCACAATATGGCACACCGAACTGCAAATAGTTCATGCAAAAAGTTGTTGTGGTTTGGAGCCAGGCTTTTTGTTTTAGTACTTCCGGCCATTTTGTAAAAAACTATCTACCACTATTAAGTAAATGCCTGAAAATCAATGTGTAATCTTGTCCACGGATGATCCGTCTTGGGCCATGGTTTGTGTACTATAGGTGGTGCCTTTTAAATCGATGAACCATGTTTTCGATATCCACATCCAATTTTTTGAAAGTCCCAAGTATTCTTTTTTGCAACTTTTTTGGTATTACTACTCTCTCACCATATAATAAAACTCCATCACCTATTGAAAAAATCTCCTGCACTTTTTTGGTCATTTGCTACCATTTTGTTTTTAAACTAAATGAAATCATCGCTTTCAGCTTCTTTTTTTAATTTCATTTTTTTTTAATGTTGTTTACCAAACCTCATAATCTGCTCTGATATTTGCAATAATTGATTCTTGAATCTTTCTTCTTGCCTTGGTTTCTTGATAGACTAATGAATTATCTTTTTGGATGATAGGTGCTTTATGAAAATCATAATTGAGAAGAATGGTTCCCCCATCTTAACAGACGATTTGCTGTATAAACGGGTAACCCTTTCTTTTGAACCAAAATGGTGATCAGTGGTTTATGATCCGTTTCAAGGAACCGTGGATGTACCTGTGAAATTTTTGTATGGCAAAAAATGATACTCAGTGCCTCTTTTAATTTTATGTCTTGCTTTATAAAATATTGTTGAGCAACCAAACAAACAAAAATAACAAATTTTTTTTTTTTTTTTACAAGAACCTTTCAAAGTCGACACGTGGTATTTGTGCTCCTTTTAATTCCATGCATGTTTTTTTTTTTTTCAGCATTTTTTTTTTTTTTTAGTCGGCCAGCATTTTTTTTCTTTTTTTTTTTTTTTTTTTTTTTTTTTCGCGTTATTTGTTTACCCACCTTCCAGATTTTTCTGAGTGTACGTTCCTTTTTTAGTCGTCCTTTAACTAGTTTTAACTGTCCAAACTTCAGAATACTTTTTTCCATTAGATGTTCGACTTTTAATTAATGATTTTTTTTTTTTTTTCCAGCCTGGGTTCTTCCACTTGTCCCAATTATTGAAGGCTATCAATTATTAATTTTTTTTTTTGAAACGTAAAGTTCTTTTATACCTCGTCGCCATTGTTGAAGCTTAAATAAGCATGGAATAATACAACACAAAATGTACGTTAACAAAATGTATTGAAACAAAGAATAGGTACACAATATTTACAGTTAGTTTTATATTCTTGGGAAGACTGTTCCTGCATAATGGGTTGACTAAATCGCAGTCGGGCAGAGTCTCTGGATTCAATTCCTTAATCTCTACTATCTTCCCCGTCTTCCGGTACCAACCCATATTTATATGGTCGGTAGTCCGCTTATGTAAATTAGGTGTATCATACACAACAATTATACATTCTCTAAAAACTTGAGAGCAAAGAGATACTTTATACTGATGCAAAGATGCTTTAGCCATTTTGGTTAGTGCTCCAAAAGAAATGCCTGAAAATAGAATTATTTCCCTTTAAACGGATGAAAATTTTTGTTTATTAGAAAGACCTGTATTAATTTGTTTTTTAAACAACTTTTTTTTTTTTTTTTTTTAATGGTTTAAAACAATATGAATGTCTATATTTAAAGCAATTTTTTTTTTTTTTAAATTTTTCAGGATGAATACATGGAGTTACTGGCCAAACTGATTATCCATGTTTCTGAACTGAGTAAGTATTACGTTTTTATTTTTCTGCTCTTTGCAAACCTCTAAAAATGCAAGAATAAATTGACAATTCTTTCAAAAAGATTTTTTTCTTTTACATTTTCAAGTATGTATAAAAAGGCTATAGAATCTATACAAAGTTTGATATATTTGGCAAATTGGAAAACTGTTTTCTTGACTTGATTAAACGTTTTGCCATCATTAGATCGGCTTCCTCAGATCAGAATGAAAGAAATGTTTGTCAAATTTATCATTTTGAAGTAAGCAATTTAAATTTTTCAGGATTTTTTTGCTCTTTTCATTTTCACTCAAGTTGAAAATTTAGAAAGGCATAAATTGTGTTTATCATAATTGTTATAGATACAAAATTGTGAAACTTTTTATTTTCTCTAGTAGGAACAAATAATATATCTCAATTATATAAGTGCAACATTGAAAATTGAATTATCAAATAAACAAAATGAAAATTCAGCCTGCTATATATGACAGAATGTTGCTATTTTAATTAGATAATGTCTATATCGGTATATAAAAAGGTTTTTTTATTAGATTATTTTTGACTGTGGTTGAATAACAACTTTTAAATGCTTGTTACAGTTGGTAGTGTATAAGCTGAGCTGTTAATTCAGATTTCTATCTTTTTCTCTCCTAAAATAATGCTTTACTACTGCCATCAGGTTGTCAAGTTCAGAGAATGTAGACCAATTTGAGCCACATTTTGAATCCTTAATCTGTTGATATATGGCATGTGGGCTTGTATACATAACAAAAATAGTTTTTATCATTTTTGATCACCCATATTTCAACCATCATATTACATTTTTTTTAGTTAATTTTTCACAAAAAATGTTTGCTTTTGCAATGAAAACCTAAATAACATAGCAAGTCCAAATTAAATAAATTTTATATTTACTTCCATTAAATAAGCTAAAATTATTCCAAATGTAAAAAGCAAAAATTTCTTCAGCCAACTACAGCAGAGTGAGCCAAAACGAACAGTATTTTTGCTCCCATTGAAACAATGAGATTTGAGATAAGCCTCCAGTTCTGAGTCAGTTGCACTATGAATTGGCCTTTAGTATAAAGAATGCCATGTCAGGCACTCGACCCAAATCAGCTACAAAAATATTTTGAACATGGAATGGGGCATAACTCATGCAATGTACATAATTTCTATGTGTGAATACAGGTATACTTTGGTTTACATTGTTTTGAGTATATGTCATTTGTCAAAGAAAAATATATGGAAAAATAAAAATCAAGTTTAAGTTATTTTATTCGAATTTACATCTGTCCACCACAAATGTTGAAGTTGTAATATCACAAGAAGAGTGTTAAAAGCACATAAAATCATTTTACTGTACAATAAATAAGACTAAAAGTATATAAAATCATATTAAAATACATACATTTTCAGTAAATGTTAATATAATCATCATAAATCCTATAGATTGAAATATGAAAACGTCTGTGACTCTGTGTTGTTGTCTTATTTAGCAGTCTTTAAGAGATCAATATTGGAGTTTTCCATGGTAGTTCTAATATCTATCATTTGGTATTGTCGTTAGCACCACTTGAAAACCTGCAAAATTTAAATCCAGTTTAGTTTAGACATACGCATGGTGTACATTTGCTTATTGCCTACTCTCTCATTCTCATTCATTTGTGACTATATTTTGCCCCAATGGCTCCTAAGAAAATTCCTAGTGCAAGTGCTAAGCGTCATGCTATAACACTGAACGATAAACTTACTATGACAAAATGCCATGAAAAAAGGTGAAAATGTTATATTTATTGCTCAATCTCTTGGAATGAGTTGGGCAACTGTATCGATGATTATTCACAATAAGGATAAGATTTTGGCACATATCAAATCTGATTCCTGAGGGATGAAGAATCTTTGAAGAGATGGAACAACTTCTTTCTTTTTGGATTGATAGTGTTATAGTGGAACACACCTATTCTATAGTGAATACTCTCCCACCTATTATAAATAGGAGTAGAAAGAGTAACGAGGGGGTCGCTCAGTGAGTTGGTCAGTCAGACGATGTCGGATTACTCTGTGTTATACCTATTATATCAAGTTCCTAACATTTTGTACGTCATTACTATTTTACAAATACAAGCCTCCACTGTGAAATCACTCCATAACAGATAGGTTGAATCATCAGCGTGCTGCTATTAGTCAGAAATCATTCAAGCAGAAGTGTTGTCTTTGAGGACCTGAACAAAAAATAGCCAGATGAGAAAGATGTAGAGTCAGGGCTGCTTTATGAGATTTAAAGAACAAAGAAGTTATCACTCTATTAAGAAGCAAGGTGAAAGTTCATCAGCTGATGAACAAGCAGCAGCTGATTTTCCTCAAGCATTGGTTAAGATCATTGAAGAAAACGGGGTTTCTTCCTGAATAGATCTTTGACATTGAGAAAACTGGATTATATTGGAAAAAATTATCAAAATGTTCTTGCACTGCTAATGTTAAGCATAAAGCTATATTGATGATAAATTTATTTTATTCAGAATACTGTACGTATGTATCATAAATATTGTAATATACAATGGGGAGTGCTTATTTGCAGTTTAAAGTGTGGTTATTCTGATTTAGGTCAGAAAACAACTTTAGTCATGACATCTGGAACCAATTAACAATGTAGGGTGAAGTATACCTGTATACAGTTTTCAAATAAAATTGTTGAGAATCAATATTTAATTGCAATATTGATTTGTTAAAGATCAATCAAGGTTTTAAAGAAAAGACAGTATTGAAGAAAAATCTTTATTGGTGATTTTTTTATTGCATACAGGAATGAAATATTTTCTGACTTGAAGACATTTAAAGAGTTTAAATCTATTTAGGAAGAAGAAAAATTTGTTTTTTTTATATATGTCATTTTTTCATAAATATTTGTGACCAAACTTTTATTTTGGTAATTTAATCAGAATTGGAAAAATTTGAAACTTTAAAAATATCCAAGATTATCCATATTTTTGTTGTCATCTAATGACATATTGAATTTTTTTTATTTTTTTTTTGTTCTTGAATAATAATAAAAAAAGAAAATAAGGCCAGTGAAGACCATAAAGAATTAAAAAATGTTGGGACCCAATTTATTAAATGCCAAGAATGAATGACTGTTTCCTGTTGATCTTCTGTTTGATTTTAATTGCCATAAAGCAAGACATTTAGCAAGCATCACATCAATCTAAGTATAAGGAACCAGTAACAAGTACATCAAAAACTACAAAAAAATAAAAAAAATATTTAATTTTTCATAAAGATGGGAATCTTAAGGTTTGTTGAGAACATTTGTATTTTTAAAATGATTTTTGGTCATGCATACTGTGGTGAAAATAACTAAACAGATCAAGGCTGACTCGGTTCCAGTTCTTTGTGGTCTGCATATAGCAAGAATTTGAAAAACTAATTTAGTTGGACATGGTAGCCTCCACTTATGTGCCATTTTTGGCCAGGGGTTCCATGAATTAAATTTATTGCAGATGCAGGAACTGCAGCTATATCCATTATTCCCAAATCCTACCTAACTGGAATAAGCACTCATCCAACAAATCTCTCGATTGTTTCTACCGATGAACAGCAAATTGAGTGTTCAGATCAAACAATGCTGGATGTGACATTGCACAACTGAAAGCATTGAATTTACATAATTATTTATGGTTGTGAAAACAACCACTACCACCTCCCTTTTTTTTTTTATTAGGTTATGATTTTCTTAACCATTTTGGCTTAGTATTGATGTACCAATTCATAAGTCTGAAATTAAAGTCATTAAAGATTGTTACAGGACTGAGTTTTGATTTCTGCACTTTGGAACACAAAAAAAAAATACAATCATTTAGAATGTTTTAACCTTTAACTCTCTGCATTATTAATATTACTTTCCTTTCCATTGAATTCTTTTTTGAGGCCCCTCAATTGCAGTATCCTTATTCTTAATTACACTCAAACTTGTTTCCTGTTGCCATCGCAGGATATGGCAACACAAATATAAAATTCAAACACACTATTGTTTCAGGATCAGTCACCTTCAGTGGCAGGATACATTTTTTTGTAAATGTAACTACTCTGCTTTTTCTCCCAATAGTACTAATGGTAAAAATGATACTTTAGTTAGTTGAAAAATTAAAAAACAATGAAAAATTGTTGGAAGAAAAGATATTAATTGTTGGACAATGTTTTCAAAGAATGAACTCTGACAGGTGAATATATTTCTGGTAAGATATTGGGTAGATTTGGGAAAGCTACTGATAAGTAAAATTATAATGTTAAATATGATTCCAATGACTGAATTTAGTGAATAGAAATCAGTATCTGGTGAAGAAATACCATTGTTGCTTAACAACTCGGATAAAATGAAGGTCTGCAAATAAACATCAATTTAAAAACTATATTGATAATGGTATATTTGATTAGAGAATCAAGATTAGAATGCAATGTCTGTAAGATGATTTGTATATGAAAATGTAAAAGACAGTGAAGCCAGGCTTGTATCAAAAGGCTATGAGAAAGATACTACCAATATACACAAAGCTCCCCCAACGTGTTTCAAGGAGCCAATTTGTATTGCACATTCTTTAACTTCTTTTAACCATTTCTTCCCATGTCACACTGTAAATATGAAAAACTTTAGATTTACAAGATAACAAAACTGAGAAATGTGTTCAGACAATTTCTTGTTTTAATTCTACAACAGTAGCAAGTTTGAAGGAATGATTTTCATTAGGTTTGTACAGGTTTGTGTTTGAAAAGTTTTATCATTCATAATTAAGAAATCTATTTTTGATTGATAACTCTTCATCAGCCTCTTTCTAAACATATGGTCTGTAATATGATTTTTGCAAATGACAATTTGATGATTGATCAGCTTCTATATGTGTCTTCTTTATCACCTCTTATTTGTTGCAAACTTGTGAATTGTCAGGAAAATAGCCATAGGTCATTAATTGGTCAATTAAATTGTTTAGCTGCTAGCACTTGAACATCAA